CGCCAAAAAGTCCCGAATTTTAACTTTTGTACTTACAATCATAGATTATACACTTAATTTAATTGAGACTTACAATACTTTTTTATTATTATTTTAAGAGATTTTATGACCTGGTAACTAAGACCTTTAAGCCTTGACTTATTTAATTTTCATTGTTATTTATTTATATTTTTATGAAAAATGAAATGTGCAATAACTGTGGTTTATTAACTGTTTAGTATCTGTGAAAGTGCATAAATGTAGGAAAATGAAACAAAGCCGCTGAACGTAACTTCTGATAGGGTGGATGGACTAGCGGCTATAGCAATTAATTAAAACGTAAATTAAATACTTGAAAACATTGTGTTGACTTGTATAAAAGAAAATATAATTCAGAATGACACCGCACATCAAAAGTAAAAGGAACATAATACAAATTCAAATATAATGCATCATAGACAATTATACGTGGACAGCATCACAACCTTCCAACAACTTCTCGTTATCTTCCAAAAAGTCCACTGAAAAAGTCTCAGTAAATGACCACCATTTTACTGAGTTTATACTTCGTCCCATATCATCTCATCTCATTTCATTTCTTTTCGTTTTCATTACATTTCATGCTATGTTTCATAATAATCAACTTCATTTCATTTCATAATATCATTTTCATATAAAAAGGTACGTATCACTAAAATTAAAAATAAGACTTGACCTAAAGGTCTTAGTTACGAGGTCTAAAATCGCTTAAAAAAAATTCTTTCTCTGATATGGTAGCGTTAAAGTTTAAACGTTTAACGCAACCTTGTTGAAAATCGCATTAGAAGTTTCACTTCAAAAATGCTATCTTTTCGAATCTTCACACTACTGCCACAATCTACATTTACGTGATAAAAAAACCCGATTTTATAAATCAACCATGGAGTTAATAAGTACCTACAACACTAACTCTATGAAATCAACATTAGTAACTATAATAAAACAATGTTTTCAAGACATAGCATAAAATATAATAATGATAGGTAGCAAAAATGACAATGTGTTTGAAGTATATTTCAAATAATGGAATATGGAAAAGAAGGTTACAACATTCCTCCCCATCTACATCTCGTTGATCAGACGGCGGGGTGCCTGTTTAGGTCGATTACTTCGACGCGGAGCAAATGGCACAGGAGTNGCATTCGTGTTGAAGCGATGCACCGGTGTTCGAATCCCGCAGGCGGGTACCAATTTTTCTAATGAAATACGTACTCAACAAATGTTCACGATTGACTTCCACGGTGAAGGAATAACATCGTGTAATAAAAACCAAACCCGCAAAATTATAATTTGCGTAATTACTGGTGGTAGGACCTCTTGTGAGTCCGCGCGGGTAGATACCACCACCCCGCCTATTTCCGCCGTGAAGCAGTAATGCGTTTCGGTTCGAAGGGTGGGGTAGCCGTTGTAACTATACTGAGACCTTAGAGCTTATATCTCGAGGTGGGTGGCGCATTTACGTTGTTAGATGTCTATGGGCTCCAGAAACCACTTAACACCAGGTGGGCTGTGAGCTCGTCCATCCATATAAGCAATAAAAAAAAAAAAAGTTATATTATGTATCTTTATTTTTAACTGAGGGAGGCGTATCAGTTCACGACCCACGAGACTTGAATGCAGGAATAACGTTCCATTCCACGCTCCACATAAATATCACAGTTGTCCCTCCAAACTGAACTGCATATGTAGCTGCTTCACGACAGAAAGGGGCTGGACTATTGGCCGAGTCCGTACTAACTCGTAATGTAACACATATTAATGGGATACCGTAATGGGGAAACAATAGAAACGGGACAGAGTACTTAGAACTTCCCGAAGTGCCCGGGAACTTATTTTGTATTAGACGGACTGAGTTAACGAACCACCCGATACTACGATTTTTAAATATGTTCTATGTACCCAATCATCTATTCCGTTTCCGTAAATACCGCTCGCATGGATTTCGCGAGGAGGATTCGTAGACGCCATGTATTGTGTAACTGTCATCGAATACATCCATTCTGTTAATTAGCAGGGCGTCACGTGCACAAGCAGATACTCCACTTACGCGGATACTCCAGATACGTGGTTAAATTACAATTAAAATTTCAATCTGATGTCGCAAAGCAGTTAAAGTGTCTATGGAGTCTGGTAACCACTTAAAAACGGCTGGGCCGTAAGTTTGTCCACCTATCTAATGAAAAAAATTACAACTATACTATTAAATTAACAAGACCTACGACGATCTTTATACGTTTTGCAAAATATAGAAAAGCTACTATTTCTTTCTGGAAATTTCTAAATACATTTTGTAAAACAGCTTATCTTTAGTTTATTACTATCACCGTAATAATATTATCACGATTCACGACACTAACGTCGACACGATTGTGTCGTGTTGTGATTTTTGCAACTTTGTTGAATGAACGAGCGATCAATTTATGAGATTCATATTCATAGTTCAATTAACAATGATGTTTTTTGTGTTTTTATTTATAAATAAACTATCTGGCATCGCCCGCCTGTACCATACTTTATGCTCGTACTTAGCAGTGAGATGAAAGGTAGTAAATTGAGTAGGTGCAATTATTATTACTCTATCTCACATAAATTGCAAGCAATGCGTTGATTTTCTCTATTTGTAGCATCTTGTATATTTTCTTCAATTTAGTCGCGAACATAGCTTAATTAAAACACGTTTAAAATATTGATCTCATGGTCTCACTTCGTTCTTTAGTATTAAAGTACAAAAAATATTAAAACCATCGGGAATAGTTTAAATTAAAAACCGACGCTTGAAAGGCAAACGTGGCTACGCGACAATAACTGCTTTGTACATAAATGATAGGCAATACCTAACCATATTCGATGCGCAAAAAAAATATATTTCTAGGTCTATTAAAATCATTTCAATCCTACAGCTAGATTCGTTAAAATAGAATTTTTTTCAGGTATTTCAACTGTAAATTAGTCTACTGTAAAGTTCACGCATTGTCGCTTAGTCACGTATGCCTTTCAAGCGTCGATACAAGTTTTTTTAGTCAAGTCTGCGATCCACAGAAATCTTAGAACTTGGGATTTCCCATGTTTGTAAAATTCACTTTGTTTTAAATTGCCTATTTATTTTGTTACAAACAAATACTCTTTTGAATTTCTAAATGACTTTGGCTATTAAACTAATAACTAATCGATCATAATGAGGAAACAATACGAGGCTTATTACCATGGTCCTGAGCAGAAACGAACACATTGCTGGATATCCGGAGGTAAATCAGATCTTGATGTTGCGTTTTGCAAAGCTTCCAGTTCTAGATCAATTTAAAATCATAAGATTAATGGAGATGCCTTACATTATACACACATACATATGGCTGCTAACTTTAAGCTCATAGTTATCAACAATTAGCATCTTCTAAACGCAATCGTAAACTGACATCTATCCATAGACGTTTGTGAGGTCAAATGAAAATCTATAACTAATAATACCACACTCTATAGAGTTTGCAGTTTTTTTTTATTGCTTAGATGGGTGGACGAGCTCACAGCCCACCTGGTGTTAAGTGGTTACTGGAGCCCATAGACATCTACAACGTAAATGCACCACCCACCTTGAGATATCAGTTCTTAGGTCTCAAGTATAGCTACAACGGCTGCCCCACCCTTCAAACCGAAACGCATCACTGCTTCACGGCAGAAATAGGCGGGGTGGTGGTACCCACCTGCGCGGACTCACAAGAGGTCCTACCACCAGTTGGTGACTAGTAACGCTACCTTAGTCGGAGTACTGGTTCGTATTGTAGTCGTAATTGTTTATTGCAAATTAATAAAGCTTCGTGTGTCGGCGAACTCGCCGCGACCTTATTATAATATTTTAGGCTGGTAAATGTCCCGTGGCACAACACGTGAAGTGTTGCGTGCGATTACAAAAGTTCGCACACCTTGAACTTAGCCATGATAAGTGCTAATATTTATATTATTAGACGAAAAAGCTTACACGACCGAAGGTACAGCATACAGCAAAGTGTCATCGTGGCCTAAAGGATAAGACATCCGGTGCATTCGTATCTAGTGATGCAACGGTGTTCGAATCCCGCTGGCAAGTACCATTTTTTCGAGTGAAATACGTACTTAACAAATGTTCACGATTGACTTCCACGGCAAAGGAATAGCATCGTGTAGTAAAAATCAAACCCGCAAAATTATAATTTGCGTAATTACTGGTGGTAGGACCTCTGTATGGGCAGCCGTTGTAACTACACTGAGACCTTAGAACTTATATCTCAAGGTAGATGGTGGCATTTACGTTGTAGATTTATATGGGCTCCGGTAACCGCTTAACACCAGATGGGCCGTGAGCTCGTCCACCGATATAAGCAATAAGAATTTAAAAATAAAAGTTTTCATGTATTAAAACAATAACTTCCTAAAATAATGTGCTAAATTTTTATTATTAACGAGGTTTGATTTTATTGTAAATGTGTGTGACCATTTTACATAATTACTCCAATCGAATCTAAACCAAACTAAACTAAAATTTTGGTTATGCACTCTATGGTATGCTTTATACGGTTGCTCCCTAAAATAAGTTTTAGTTTTCTTGACCTCTATAGACAGGCCTAATTGGTATTAAGAACATCAGGATGCAAGGATGAGCCAAGGAGGAACCATCTCACTTAAATATTTCGAAGCAACCCTGCATTCCAGTTTGATCGGTAAGACAGTCGTTTTTTTTTTGTTTTTTTATTGCCCTTGTAGGCTGACGAGCATACGGCCCACCTGAGGTGAGTGGTTACCGTCGCCCATGGACTTCAGCAATGTCAGGGGCAGAGCCAAGCCGCTGCCTACCAAATGTTTTGTAGTACAATAGAATCTTCGACCTCCTATGTCAAGGTGGGTGACGGCATTATGTTGACAATGGATTCCGTAACATCTAGGTGGGCTGAGCGCTAGTTCGCTCATCCACGACGATATAAAGGCAGTCTTACCATAGGTTTATTTATTTATTATTCTTGTTCCATGGGCTGCGGGGGAAATGGGGGTGGAGGGGGAGGAGGCGCATCGTTGTTTGCATCCTGGTTCTCCATCAAGCCAAGCTGTTCAAGCATATCATCGTTGTCTTCTATGAGATGGACCTGGTGCAAACGTCGATTTTATGAAAATATTTTGTGTATTTATTTCTATCGCGAAACAGTCATTCTTTCCGGTTTCCGACAATAACCTAAATTTGCAATAAGGCGATGGGGTAGCCGTCCGTCGTCTACTTAAAGATGTCCAATCGGATCCTCCCGATCCACTATCGGTACTTTTAAGCACAGTAACTACCGGACACCGTTCTCGTGTTACTCTTCGAACGTGACGAAGAGTTCGACATGTAACCCATTTTGCACACAGCCCACTGAGTTTTTCGCCGGATCTCCTTAGTGGGTCTCGATTCCGATTTAATGAAAGCTTCAGCGAAGCGCTGCTCATGTGTGTCAGCAAGCTTATTGCCTAGGTGGTTGGACGAGCTCACAGCCCAGCTGGTGCTAAGTGGTTACTGGAGCCCATAAGCATCGACAACGTAAATGCACCACCCACCTTGAGATATAAGTTCTAAGGTCTCAAGTATAATTACAACGGCTGCCCCACCCTTCAAGCCGAAACGCATTACTGCTTCACGGCAGAAATAGGCAGGGTGATGGTACCTACCCGTGCGGACTCACAGGAGGTCCTACCACCAGTCGTTTGGCGATCGTGCTTTTCAATAATTCCTTTTACCCATAATCGCTCTTGTACTCGCGGTGAAGCCAGAATAGCTCCTCGTGGCTATAGGTATCAAAATGTCATTTTATAAATAAAATTTACGAATGTTTACCAATAAAATTTAGTAAAAATATATAGCAATACTAGTTATATTCAGGTCACGTTCATACAAAGCTGTGAACGATGCGTAGCGAAGATAGCGAAGTGAAACAAAAAAATATATAGTTTTTTTGCAAAATAGGCAGATGAGCATACGGCCCACTTAGTGGTGAATGATTATCATCACTCATGGACGTTAGCAATGTCAGGAGCATGGTCAAGTTGCAGCCAAAAGCTGCATCATCAACCTCTACAACTTATAAAGTACATTAAAAAGCAATCATTCCTTTGCTTAAACGTGCATATTTGAGTATATTCATTTCCCACTTCAGCATTCGATCGCAATCGCTTTTTTTGTACTAGATAAATATATTGATTAGCATATTTTTTTATTGCCTAGTTAGATTAACTAACTAAAGACCCACATGGTTTTAAACGGCTACCAGAGTCTGTAAAAATAATCACGTTTTCAGCCATCTGCCTTGAGGTATAAAATCGTAGTCTCAGTTGTATTATGACGTCCGTAACCCCAGTTACTTCTGTTCGTAGAGGCCAATAAAAAAAAAAAAACATGTTTTTGGCAGTAATCGCTAATTATTATATAATCGATTTTTTTAGCGCGCAAATATCGGACGGTCAATTTTATTTCAATGCTGACCTAGTTAAAATTGATTAGTTATTTGATGTTTTTTTTAAATTAGCTAACCGTACACAACATATGGGTCGTACTATCTAAAACAGTAGATATATAGAGTAGACAGTTGGATTGTATCATCAACGAGTACAGCAGAAGGAAGCATAAAAATTTAAGAGCCATATTCATTCATGCCTAGTTTAAAAGATATCCACGGACACTCGTCAAAAAGTTCACATAGGTTATTTATTATAATCAATATAAAAATAAAATGAAATATTATGATTGTGTTGTTGATGAAAACAAGTAATTGCCTTATCTAAACATAATTTTCTCTTCAATAATATCTTTAATGCGTTGTACGAAATATTATGCTATTAATGGAATAAAAGTTATTAAACGCTATTTATTAGTTGACCACACATAAAACTAAACAGACTAATTTACTGAAACAACGAAACATATTGATAACCCCTAGATAAGTTCTGATTGTCTCAACGTGATGTCTTAATTCAAGACGAAGTTTGTAGAGAGTGACCGATTTTAGTAAGTTCATCTATTTTCGCGAATTCTAGATATTATAGAAACGATTTACGATTTGTTAAATTCGCCAAAATTTAACTTCTCTAGTGACGTTTTTTTTAAAGTACATATAAATAATATAAATTTGATTTATTCTTAATTGCGATTTGTTCATTTTAGTTATATAGAAAACAATTCAATAAATAGTCTTACATCTATAACCTAATATCCATGCATGTGCAATATATCATATAATATCTATAATTTAATATAAATACTAATAAAAAGTGTATCTTGCTATCGATGATCACTTGTCTTAAGCCNTTTTTTTAAAGTACATATAAATAATATAAATTTGATTTATTCTTAATTGCGATTTGTTCATTTTAGTTATATAGAAAACAATTCAATAAATAGTCTTACATCTATAACCTAATATCCATGCATGTGCAATATATCATATAATATCTATAATTTAATATAAATACTAATAAAAAGTGTATCTTGCTATCGATGATCACTTGTCTTAAGCCCGTACCATCGATCCGATCTCTATTATATATGTGACCGAGTTAATACTAGAAGTATGTTAATATATAATATTACTAGCTGACCCGGCAGACTTCGTAGTGCCTCAATCGATAAATAAAAGACCTAAACTTTTGTATAAAATAAACTTAAAACAAACAAAAGGAATTTTGATATTTATCTACCTTTTAAACCTTCTCTGGACTTCTACAAATAATTCAAGACCAAAATTAGCCAAATCGGTCCAGCCGTTCTCGAGTTTTAGGGAGACTAACGAACAGCAATTCATTTTTATATATATAGATAGATAGAAGAAGATTACATTTATAGTTAATACTATAAATGTAATAATATTATCTTTTTAAATTATATCCTGAATAGGCGTAGTATTTTTAACAATCATTGAAGGTTTCCTTTGCCTTTCGAATGAATATAATTAATGAAACTTACGTCAGGTAGCGTCGGTCTGTGTTGTCCTTGACGAGCCGTCTCCGATAGCAGGATCTTCTGTCGCTTCTCCTCCATGAGTCGCTCTCGATGCTTATGTATGTAATCGTACACGTTGGGAAGGCCCATGATCACACATGCCGATAACGCCGAACGATATATGTTCATATCAGTCGCTTCATACCTAAGATTATTAATGAATGTAATCGTATCAAATTTTATATCTTTTACTAGATGTAAACGTAATGTATTGTGATTTGTGTATTGTATTTATGTAATTTTTCTAATAGAAATACGTACTTAACAATTGTTTACGATTGACTTCCACGGTGAAGGAATAATATAGTGTAATAAAAATCAAACCCGCAAAATTATAATTTGCGTAATTACTGGTGGTAGGACCTCTTGTGAGTCCGCGCGGGTCGATACCACCACCCCGCCTACTTCTGCCGTGAAGCAGTCATGTGTTTCGGTTTGAAGGGTGAGGCAGCCGTTGACACTATACTGAGACCTTAGAACTTATATCTTAAGGTAGGTGGCACATTTACGTAGTAGATGTCTATGGGCTCCAGTAACCACTTAACACCAGGTGGGCTGTGAGCTCGTCCACCCATCTAAGCAATATAAAAAAAAAACATTAATCAAATATTGACTCACCACTCGTTCGTCTTCTCGTCGTAGCACTCGACGTGGTATATAGTGGTGACTCCATTGAAGCCGCCGATCGCAAAGATCATGTCGTCAATGACCTCGATGGCGAAGTTGCTGCGGGGATTGTACATGTCCGGCACGGGCGCCCACGTGTTCGTCGTCGGGTCGTACACCTCGCCGCTGCACATCCTCGAGATACCGTTGAAGCCTCCAATGACGTAGACCTACAAAGAAAAAGGCATTTGATTAAAATCATGTACATGCAACCCGGCAGCACACAAGTGTGTGTGCTGCCGGTCATGACATATGGCGCTGAAACGTGGACATTAACCGTAGGTTTGGTCCGTAAGCTCAAAGTCGCTCAGCGTGCTATGGAAAGGTGTATGCTCGGAGTTTCTTTGATGGATCGAGTCAGAAATGATGAAAGTCGTCAAAGAACCAAAGTAACCGACATAGTCCTAAAGGTTAGCAAGCTGAAGTGGCAATGGGCCGGACATACGTGTCGCAGAACCGATGGCCGATGGAGCAGACGTGTTCTGGACTGGAGACCGCGTACCGGTAAACGCAGCGTTGGGCGTCCCCCTGCCCGTTGGACCGATGACTTGCAGATATGCTGGGAGAGATTGGATGCGGAAGGCGGAGGATCGTTCATTGTGGCGGACTATGGGAGAGGCCTACATCCAGCAGTGGAGAGATACAGGCTGATGATGATGATGATGACATGCAACCCTCCTGTAACACGGTAGATACATTCCTACGGGTGATGGGAGAGATGTGCTCCGCACTAAACGCTTCCCTCTCCTCTTTGCCTTTTGGGTTGTTGAGTGACAGGAGGAGGTCGGTTCGACTCCGACACGCTCCACCCGAAAAAAAAAAGATACATTCCTACAAATAGGGCCCTGAAACTGCGATACTTTAATACAAATATTTTGTTTGTATGGAAACTAGCGTCATCTCGTAGCGCATTCCCCTAAACTTATATGCTGTTAAAGTTAAGGCATTTAATTACTGTATAACTAAACACAGAATTATGCTATGGAATTGGGCTATGGAATGAGCTCCCCTCCACGGTGTTTCCCGAGCGCTATGACATGTCCTTCTACAAACGAGGCTTGTGGAGAGTATTAAACGGTAGGCAGCGGGTTGGCTGTGCCCCTGGCATTACTGAAGTCAAGAAAAAAACTAATGAATCATACAAGTCTTTATTTGTTATAGACAAATCGATTAAATTTTATCAATATGTGGTTTCTGAAAACTTACAAAATCCTTTATTAATAGGTCCTGGTAACATGTTACTGCTATCTATATACAGGAGCAAAGAGAAACTAATCGAAGCGAAGCCATCTAGTGGCCGACGCCCTTTAACATTTTATCGATAACTAATTAATGTGTATTATCTGTGCCTACAAAGTCTCGTGTGTGTGAAACCGTGTTATATGAGACTAGAAGACAGTAAAAAGGGAGAGTAAGTTTACTGGATGAAATTTCTCAACTATACCTGTATGTATTTTTTACCTATTTATTATACATTAAAAATAAGCAGTGAAATTTCGGTTATTCCCATATATTGCGCGTTCATAATACATAATGTAATTCTCTAAATAATTTTAAACAAAAATCTCCTTATCGTGTTGTAGAAGTACCGTGTTATAGGAAGGCTACTTTTATATACAGTGTGTTATGATGTTAGATTATGTTAGATTAAGACGACTTTGGAATCCAGCATCAAACAGCATAGGCAAACTATCATACTGCCCTGATGGTGAGTGGTTACAGTCGCTTATGCACGTCAGCAATGCCAGGGACAGAGCCACGCTGCGGTCTACCATTCAAAATAACGGTAGGCAGTGGCTTGGCTCTGCCCCTGGCATTGCTGAAATCCATGGGCGACGGTAACCACTCACCATCAGGTGGGCCGTATGCTCGTCTGCCTACCAGGGCAATAAATAAAAAAAAACTCTCCACAAGCCTCTTTTAAAGAAGGGCATGTCATAGCGCTCGGAAAACACCGTGGGGCTCATTCCAAAGCCGGATGGTACGTGGCAAAAAAAGATCTCTGGAAACGCACTGTGAATGACCGCAGTGGTTCCAGGTAGTATTGATGAATTCTACTTCGAGAGCGGGCGGTGCGATGGTAAAAACGAGATAATGGTATCATCTCAAACAACAAAATACAGAGGGAATCGAAGTTCCTCCGCAGACGCAGAGGTTCCAAACGATCCATGTCGTCGTGGCCTAAGCGATAAGACGTCCGGTGCATTCGTGTTGAGCGATGCACCGGTGTTCGAATCTCAGGCGGGTACCAATTTTTCTAATGAAATACGTACTCATCAAATGTTCACGATTGACTTCCACGGTGAAGGAATCGTGTTATAAAAATCAAACCCGCAAAATTATAATTTGCGTAATTACTGGTGGTAGGACCTATTGTGAGTCCGCGCGGGTAGGTACCACCACCCTGCCTATTTCTGCCGTGAAGCAGTAATGCGTTTCGGTTTGAAGGGTGGGGCAGCCGTTGTAACTATACTTGAGACCTTAGAACTTATATCTCTAGGTGGGTGGCGCATTTACGTTTTGGATGTCTATGGGCTCCAGTAACCACTTAACACCAGGTGGGCTCTGAGCTCGTCCTCCCATCTAAGTAATAAAAAAAAATGTATGTATTCGTATTATTGATTGTAAATGTGATAGAATAATGTTTATTAGGTTGACTACCCGTTTCAAAAATAGTAGTAGTGGGCGGGGAATAGAACGTCAATTGTTTTTTCAACGTTATGTCACCCGTTTCCGCTGTCATAACATTTTTTTTTTTGATAAGGAAGAATTACTGGTAGCCCGCAGGACTTTCCAGTTTCACTAGGACAGGTGGGCGAACGAAGGCTCAGACAGGAGGGATGAAAATTTGCTAATAACTGCTCGAGCGCCTCCAAAGGAGACCTAACAATTCAGGAGCAGCTGCTCGCGAATGAATCTAATAACAATGGTAAATAGGAATGCGTGCTGCTATTTGCCTGTATAAGTTTCGGTAGTAAAAATATACATTTAAATTAGGCGGCTGTTTAAAGATTTCATTTTGAAATAAACATTTTAATTTATTTTTTTGTTGTTGCTTTGATGGGTGAAGGCATTACTGCTTCACGGCAGAAATAGTCAGGGTAAATAATCTAACCTACTACCAGTAAATAATCTCTAAACCTCTTTCATAATAATTATGATTGAGCAAATAACTTAATGATTAAAAGCTATCAAAAATAGTCAGGCAGCCCTATAATGCAGCTCTTTTTTCTCAATAAAAAAATACTGCTACTCGATTAAAATAATAGAAAATTAAAAATGAATATGTTTTAATTTAAAATAAAAAACGCAATGAATATACCTAAATACCTTGTTGTGGTAAGCGATGCAGGACACGCCGGAGCGGCGCGACCTCATCGGGGTCAAATTCGTCCATTGGTTCGCTTCTGGATCGTACATTTCGACGCTGTTCATGCATTCCTGACCATTGAAGCCACCGGTTATGTATATCTTGTCTAGTTTAAGAGAAGTGCTGTGTTAAATTTTATTTTTTAATTCTTTATTCTTTACTAGCTGACCCAGCAGACTTCGTAGTGCCTCAATCCATAAATAAAAGACCTAAACTTTTGTATAAAATAAAATTAAAACAAACAAAAGGAATCCGTCCGAAAATTGTTATTTTTATTTAATTCCGAGCTTTTTTATATTTTCTCACCTTTTAAACCTCCCCTGGACCTCCACAAATAATTCAAGACCAAAATTAGCCAAATCGGTCCAGCCGTTCTCGAGTTTTAGCGAGACTAACGAACAGCAATTCATTTTTTTAAATATAGATTAGAGCCATATACATATTAGTTTAAGTCGGCTATGTTAAATATTAGAACTTGAAAATTAAATAGATTTTCATGCTCAAAGTTAATCATATTCAACATGCTTCAGGTCTCTCGATTTCATTCTGAATCTTAAATACAAACACACAGGTACGGCATATGGAGGACCGATAACTCGTCACACTAAATTTATTAATAGGGTTATCAGAATTGAAACAATAAACAAGTGTAAACCTAAAAGACCCTTAAAGAACCTTGTAGATAGAAGATCAAGCAACCCATAAATTGAAAACTGATCAGAATATTTTTTACTGGTGGTAGGACCTCTTGTGAGTCCGCGCGAGTGGGTACCACCACCCTGCCTATTTCTGCGGTGAAGCAGTAATGTGTTTCGGTTTGAAGGGTCCCCACCCTTCGTTGTAACTATACTGAGACCTTAAAACTTATATCTCAAGGTGGGTGGCACATTTACGTTGTAGATGTTTATGGGCTCCAGTAACCACTTAACACCAGGTGGGCTGTGAGCTCGTCCACCCATCTAAGCAATAAAAAGAATTACGTATTCAAATACAAACAAACCAAATAAAAAAAAATTATACAAATACTTTGTATAAAAACTTACTGTCAAGTGAGGCGGCGCTTGCATCGGAACGTTGTGCATTCATCGGTGCCACCAGCGACCATTGATTCGTTCGATGATTAAACTTTTCGGCCGTGTTCTGTCTGTGGTGGCCATCGTAACCGCCCATTGCATAGATTGTCTCACCAACGACAGCAACAGACACGTAACAACGCCTTGCGTTCATGGGTGCAACCTATTATCACAAAAGTCTTGATTTGTGTCGATATTTTAAAGTAGGTTAAGGCTACTAATTACACGAACACTACTAAATAATTATTTATGTAAGATAAACGTGTTATTATTTCGAAAAATTACATTTATTTGCGAAGGACTTACCTCGCGCCATATTTTTGTGACGGCATCAAAACAGCGACACGAGTTGAAGTAGTCCATGCCGTCAAAACCGCCGATAACGTATATGCAAGATCCTAAGACTGCTGTTCCGTGGTAGGCTCGTGGACCAGCCGGATCCACTTCTTCGACTTTGATCCAGCGATCAGCTCTTGTATCGTAGGTTTCGATGAAAGCAGTCGGAGACCCACCACTCCATCCTCCAATGGCAAACAAGACCTGCATTTAATTAATTTAAACTAAATGAAATAAAGTCGATCGTGTTTTGGAACGAAGTTCCTTATGGGACGATGCGGAGGGGTACCCTAACCGGGAAAAAAAGTCCGTAACGTAAGATTTTTATTAGTAATGCACACAGTGTACGACTTAACATGTAATAACCTACAAAAAATAACATATTTTTATCAGTCATTGACCACGATCTCAGAGCGTTCGTTTGCGCAATACAATAAGTCTTTGCAAACAACCGTGAAAGAAGTGTACCAAAATAAATTCGCACGTTACCGAATGACCGTGGGTTGTTGCGAACCCTCCAGTTTTATTTTCTTTATACCTCGCATAGGACTTAAAATTAATATTTTTATAATAAGGAACTTCGTTCCTATCCGGTGTCCCACGACACCTCACATCTTTTTTCTTTCATATATGTAAGAAGTATACCTCATGCGGCACTCTTGGTCGGGCTATTTCTGGTGTGGCAACTTCTCCATCTCTCTGAGCAATCATTTCCAAATCGTATAAGAACTTCAGCGTCTCTATTATAACTGGCCTAGATCCTTCATTCCCGGCAACGTATGGATGATCTTTAACATTCTCTAGGAAGAACTGAAACCAGAGACAACGTTTATAATTGGCTTCAAACGATGAGGCAGGATTTTAAATGCTTGTAACCTCACTTGCGTGTCGAGCAATCCCAGTCGAATGCTGCCCATTAATTTTACCGTGTGCTGCCATCGACCGTCTGGATCGTAATTGACCCAACGCAAAACGGATTCCCAAACTGCTTCCTCACTTTTAACGTTTAATTCGTCCTCCAATATAATAGAATTAAGTTCGTCCAGTGGCAAGTGAAGGAATTCGTCGCTCTGTGTTGCGACTGTTACAAAGTAACGCAATAAATACCTTCGTGCATCCGCTTCGAGTTTGTAACAGAAAACACGCCTGAAATATTTATAGTTATGGTAAATATGCAACGGTATCATAATACACAATTTACAATTTTATTTACAACCGGTCAATTATTATATCGGTTTCCAAATATTGTACAGGAACTAACTAATGAGATTTACGGTTGGTGGAACGCTTCGTGAGCTCCCAAAGTTAGGCGTCACCATTCTGCCAGTTTCTGCCACTAAATACTGATGCGTTCCAGTTTGAAGGGCTATCCCAGCTACGCCTGAACGGGTAGGTCAGCTCGCGGGGTCAACCTGAGAGAATTTGCTAACACAAGCCTTCACAAGAGCAGAGCATTGCAGAATCTATCACCGAATCGGAATCGCGATCCACTGAGAAGATCCGGCGACAAACTCAATGAGCTGTTTCTATGTTGTCGTTGTAATAGGTGCCGTTGTGTAGGTGGGCAGTGAGGTCGTTGATCCGTGTCAGCAATAAAAAAAGGTAAAGTAATCATATTTGATTGTGATTGTTTACCTTGCAAAAGTCATAATTCCAAGACAGTTTTTTGGGTTCAATGAACTTCTGAGATGATCGCAACAAAGCTGAAGCACTCCAAGGAAAGCGAGATAATCGGCTGTCATTAGGAGCTCATGTACATTGGTATCTGTGACATCGATACGGCGGAGGTAGGCGTACTCAATCAACAGCAGTAATATCTCAGAACGCACTCCGGATATCAATACGTCGCTTTGCTCCCGAGAATGAAGAGTTGTTGTGAACAGTGCCCTAGTGGTAAGTGAATATTTTAGAACGACGTATCTAAGTTTACGCATGCTAGTACTTGAAATTGTCTATTTCTACAGGACGAAATAACGTAATTGAAAGAAAAAGCTAAGCTGAAACTAAATGACGAAATCGAATAATTTACATTTAAATTTTCCAGAATCGAATTACGGTATCGTATCGTATAAAATTGGTACTACTGGTGGTAGTACGTCTTGTGAGTCCGCAACGTACCACCAGGTACGTAGGTACCACCACCCTGCCTATTTCTGCCGTGAAGCAGTAATGCGTTTCGGTTTGAAGGGCGGGGCAGCCGTTTAACTATACTGAAACCTTAGAACTCATATCTCAATCTCAAGGTGGCTGGCGGCATTTGCGTTGTAGATGTCTACGGGCTCTGGTGGGCCGTGAGCTCGTCCACCAATCAATGCAATAAAAAAAGGATAGTATGGTTTTATGAAAACACGGTAAAAGTGAAACTTTTTTTCACATTATAGACATTTAACTCTGACAAACAACATTTAAACACTGACAAAAACAAAAAAGATTGCGTGAAGCACTAGCTCAAAAGGGGTAATAGTCTACACGGTCAGCTGCTGCGAGCTATAGGGTCCGCCATATTGACCTTGGCTGCTCTGACGAGCGCCTTTCACTTTATCTCTACTCCGCGGCCGACCATCACGCGACATGCAACACACAGACGAAATTTTTTGAGAAGATGTAATAAAAGTTTCACTTTAAAAAGACTTACAGGAAGTATGGGCTGCAGGCTGAGAGTATAGCACGGTGCACGGGGAAGGAAGCGCCATCGTCAGCGCGCACAATAGCGTCGCATAGCAGACGACACTCGCGCAGTCGATGGAGCGCCTGCATCGCTGCCACCGACATGCACCGACCGGTTTCCCGACCCGCCGTCTGCTGTTGCCAGTGCACCGTTATCATCATCGTAACCAATAACGTGCTCATCGCCAGTATTACGATCGTTAGAGCCACTCTCACAATTCCCTAATAAAGTTTATCTCATGCTCTTATCCTGGATCTCCCACATTATTGGTACTTATTACAATATTAAAACATTAAAAACTATATTCGTAGTTTGCATTATGTTACGCTGTGAGGTTAGGAAAAATAATTGTTGAAGTAAAGTGATCAACTTTTTTTTCCTACCTATGCTGATAACCTTAAGAGGCTATTTCAGCTTCGCCCTAAAACGTAGGTGAGCTTGCGGGGCTCAAGCCCTAGCCCNGATCTCCCACATTATTGGTACTTATTACAATATTAAAACATTAAAAACTATATTCGTAGTTTGCATTATGTTACGCTGTGAGGTTAGGAAAAATAATTGTTGAAGTAAAGTGATCAACTTTTTTTTCCTACCTATGCTGATAACCTTAAGAGGCTATTTCAGCTTCGCCCTAAAACGTAGGTGAGCTTGCGGGGCTCAAGCCCTAGCCCTAGCAAGGCCCTAGCAAGAACCGTGCTTCGCGGAATCTACCACCGGATCGGAAATGCGACCCACTGAGAAGATCCGACGAGAAACTCAGTGGCCTGTGTCTGTGGGTAGCGATCCACCATATTAGATAATAAAATAGAAAATATACTTTTATTGTACCATCAATACACTTCAATGAGGCATCAATCAGTTTACTTTTTCTCCTGTAGGCAGACACACATAAGGCCCACTTGATGGTGAGTGGTTACTATCGTTCATGGACATCAGCAATACCCGGGGCATAGCCAAGCCGCTGCCTTCTGCTGAGTACTTTCCACAATCCTCATTTGAAGAGAGGTATGGAAAATGTTACCGTCTTTATTATTAAATAGCGCGGTTCAGTAACATTATAAGAGAACTTTGTTTATATAACATTATGACTTTTAAATCGATAAAAGTTCACCTTCAACGAAAACACATTCTTTGTGTAGTTTCGTCTATACAGCGAACTAAAGGTCTATTCTGATTCCGACTGTAAATGCTATAAAGAAAATAATTGCTTGTACATATTATATTTATATAACCTGCTAATCTTGTTTTCGTACAGCAATTATTTCTATTTGAAGAGCAGAAATACCGTAAATTTCAATCAATTGAGACTTCAAGCTCATGTCGTAAAGTGGGATGCAGGATTCACGTTGTGGTCTATTAACTCCCTTAAAGACTTAACATCAAATGAATCGTGAGCTTGTCTGTTCGGCTACGCCAAATAATAGTCAGATAAATCTACGATGAAGGTCTGACGAGTAATAAAACAAAATACACGATTCTTATACCAATTCCTGATCAGTACCAGCTCTTAGACTTTTAAGTATTTTGTACTAAATCATTTATTGAATTCAATTTTTAAAAACCTACAGCTTTATAAAAACTCTTTATGTAAAATAATCAGAATGTAGACGTAGTAGTCAATGTTTCGAACAACCTGTTGTTGTTATTGTTGATAAACACGGGTCAAATCCAACCGACAACAATTTAACAATATAATAATAAAACACTAAAGAAAACAGAGTGACCCTTGAATAGGTTTAATCTGTTTATTCGTATCTATTTATTCAGCACTGAGCTTGCAACTGTTTTGATTCTCAATTCCCAATTCAGGACAATAAAACTTACATTGTTATTTGGGTCGTTTTCCATTTCTTTGCGCGTTCAGGTAAAAGACATCATTAAAATAGGTCACGTTTTCAAAAAAATCGCGTAACGAAAGTAACTTGTCGCGACACAAACGAGATTTAGTCAAATAAATTTTTAATAAAAAATAAAACCGTAAAAAATAACTCGAAAATAAATAATCAAGTCATTTGATAAAACATTTTAGGTTAGCAAAAAAATGATTTCAAAATGTCAAACATGTCACACCTTTTTTTTCCAGATGACATTGCTTGATAACAAGATTTTCATTTTCAGTGTTGGCTTTGTTGCCAAACTTGTGTTAAATAGCTTTTTCATTATGGGTGCTCTCGTGCTCTTACGAAGGAGGCCCGTTTTCTATTTCAGAAAACAAGGTTTATCTTTATTATTTCACAACGACTTGAATACAATATTAAAATGCAGTGTCACACTTATAAATAGACTAGTATATTAAACGCAGTCATACTCCGCTGATCGCAACTTGTTAGAATATCATGCATTTCTTGAAACTACTCGAACGCCACCTCTCGCACGTTAATGGTACTATGGTCCTCCTTGGAGTGCCAACAAAAATGTACCGAGTTCCAGACGAAGGACAAACATCTAACTGATTTTTGTTCATATTCGATTCGAGTTTTAAAAACGGCACTAGCTTTTGTCCTCTACGTCACGCTACTACGAGTACGTCATTTATAAAGTAGATATAAAATCGAGGTTTACTTTACTGGTGGTAGGACTTCTTGTGTGTCCGCGCGGGTAGGTACCACCACCCTGCCTATTTCTGCCGTGAAGCAGTAATGCGTTTCGGTTTGAAGGGTGGGGCAGTCGTTGTAATTATACTTGAGACCTTAGAACTTATATCTCAAGGTGGGTGGCGCATTTACGTTGTATATGTCTATGGGCTCCAGTAACCACTTAACACCAGGTGGGCTGTGAGCTCGACCACCGATCTAAGCAATAAAAAAAAATGATGTCTGGTTTAAGAAATAAAATAAGTATGAATAATAAATAATTTATTTGTAATAAAGCTACCTACATATGCCAAAAACCGGTTTAAATGTGTGTTTAAAAAATACTGGTTATAATTAGGGCTTGCAAACCGATATACCGACAACCTGTGAAAATCGCTAACATAAAATGAACTCTTAGCCCGGGCTGATACTCATCTCGCTCCTATACCAGATGGTACATGTTCGAACACACAATAATTGCTATTATTATTATTTAAATTTTTAGGCTGCCGCTGCGCCGGTTATCTCTGCCAGCGTAATAAAAAAATAAAACAATAAATAAAATGAAAATCATTATTTTTAAACACGTATAATTAATCTCAAAACTTAATTTAATTTACAACTGATTACGCATAAAACGATTGTCACTGATTTTATATTTACAGATGAAAGTGAATTGATAATATCAGTTGTCGTATTTATTGTTTACAAATAAGATTCAGTTGAGTGGCCTTGACGTTTCTTTGGCTGTGATTCCGTCAGACCTGAGTCTGGACAACAGAGACTTGTACACGACCGGCGCGAATGGAAGGACCACTCCGCGTTCTTGGATCTCACCTGAAAGTAAAAAAATGTGAATATCCTTACATTACATAAGCTTAAGTTTTATGTAATAATTTTCGGACTTCATGTTGTCTTTGATTATGTCTACAGCTTAGTCTGAAAGTTATATGTACATAACGTATAATGTGTTCACGAGTACTCACACGACAAGTGACAGGCGATGGTCAATAAAAAAATTAATACTTTACCGTCGCGTTTAGATCAAACTGATATAATTTCTATAATATATATATTGATGTGATTTTATATAAATTTCTTTTCCGTCATTTACATTAGAAATGAGAATCCCTTTAAAAAATATTAGTACGATATGCATTTATTTATTTATGTACACACAGAAAAGATGACATAGTACAGAGTAATAGGAAAATTATGTACAAAGGCGCTGCTTATTTCTTTAAGAAATCTCTTCCAGCAGACCTGCGAGAGGATTATGACAATAATAATTAAAAGTGATGAGTGTGTGTAGAACAAATAACACATAACTAAAATAACAAATACAAGATGAGAATTATAGTAATGCACATACACATAGCAAATATTGTTAAAGTTGAATACAAAATATTATACGTAACACAGTATATACGGAGCGTATAGAACAATAATAATAATAATAAAACCCAGACAGCCTATCGACCCCCTACTAAACCACAATGGCAGTGCAGAATTGAGAAGCGAATTGATAGGGCCAGGATTCTTATAGCAAAGCTTATGTGCTTCCAGAAAGGAAATACTCGTCCACGGGTTATGTGTTTCGTTGATCAGGCCTTTGCCGGAACTGGAATAAGCTCAAACGAATACATGACCTGTATTATTGAGCGCATAGACTTCTGGAAGCAAAAAGTTTATGCTTGGGCAAGCCGTATTCGTCGGTATCGTCTAAGATCTGAGCGATACCATTTGAATAGAGTTTTCCAAAGAGATCAAAGAAGTGTATACAGAAACTGGGAGTCGTCTCAATCCCAAGTGACCAATGAGCCATACAATGTCAATGAAGAGGACATGTCAACATTTTGGAAAAATATTTGGTCGATACCCATTGGTCACTCTGAAGGGGAATGGATACAAACTGTCAGGCGGGAATGTGAATCGTATAAAGAGATGGATCCAATAACAATATCCGCCATTGATGTTTCTCGTGCAGTACGTTCGATGCCAAATTGGAAAAGTCCGGGACCGGACGGACTGCACAGTTACTGGATCAAGTGGATCCGAAGTTCACATGAACGCCTGGCAGCTCAATTCCAACAGGCCCTTGAGATGGGATCACTCCCAGATTTCATGACATCTGGTATCACTTATTTGATTTATAAATCTGGCAATACCTCGGATCCCAAGAATTACAGACCAATTACATGCTTACCTACCATCTATAAGCTACTTACATCCATTTTGAGAATCAAAATTCAAAACCACATTTTTAATAATAACATTTTATCACCTAATCAGAATGGATGTAAGGCTGGGTCTCGAGGTACAAAAGATTTGCTACTCATTGACATGACCATTACTCAACAAGTTCGGCGGGGTAAGAGGAACGTTCATATGGCTTGGATTGATTATAAGAAAGCGTATGACTCTGTGCCTCATACATGGCTAATGAGAGTTTTAGAGCTATATAAAATAAATCCCATACTATGCTCCTTTCTTAGCTCATGCATGGGTCAATGGTCTACGTTTCTTAGTCAACCAGGTCAGATGACTTCTTCTGCTGCCCCGAATTTAATAAGGATTAAGCGGGGTATCTTTCAGGGCGACAGTCTGAGTCCTTTGTGGTTTTGTTTGGCGCTTAATCCTTTAAGTACATTACTTAAAGATTCAACGCTAGGCTACCGACTTCGCAGAGGAGCTGAGGCTATATCACATCTCTTGTTCATGGATGATCTCAAATTATTTGCTTCCAAAAAACCAGACTTAATGAGTTTACTTAAAATAACCGACAGTTTTAGTAAAGCCATTGGGATGGAATTTGGTGTTGATAAATGTGCGTTCATAGATGTACAGAGAGGTAAAGTTGTAAGCTCAGATTGCTTACTACTTAACCATAGTGTGGTCCTCAAGTCTCTTTGTGAATCGGAAACTTACAAGTACCTTGGTATGTTTGAAGTGCTGAATATTGTTGACGCAGATATGAAACAATCGTTTAGAGATCGGTTTTTTGGTCGTCTTATAAAGGTCTTAAAAAGCCATTTATCAGGCGGAAACAAAATCCGAGCGTTTAATGGTTGGGTCATGCCTATGTTAACATATTCCTTTGGCATACTAAGGTGGACGCAATCAGAGCTGGACGTACTGGACAGAAAAGTCAGGCGATTGTTAACGGCATACAGAATGCATCATCCACGTTCGTCTGTAATGAGGTTGTATATTCCTCGGAAATGTGGGGGTCGTGGTATTTTGAATGCCAAGGATCTACATAACCGAGAGATATACAACCTTAGGGAATATTTCCTTAAGATGAACGTGAATATGTATCGGGATGTCGTTGCAGTCGATAAGGGGCTAACTCCGCTATCCTTAGCTAACGGGAATTGGAAGAGGCTGAAGGTAGAGAGTATTTCAGATCGCATAACCGTATGGAGGAGCAAGGAGTTACACGGTAGGTTCTACCGGGCTCTCACAGGGCCTGATGTAGACCAATTAGCTTCCGTGGCCTGGTTACGATTCAGTAACCTCTTTGGGGAAACTGAAGGTTTTATCTTTGCAATTATGGACGAAGTTATCATGACGAACAACTACCGGAAATATATACTAAAGGATGGGACGGTCGACATTTGTCGGGCATGCCACCGTCCGGGAGAGTCTATTAGACATATTGTTTCTGGCTGTTCTCGGTTTGCTAACGGCGAGTACTTGCATAGACATAACCAAGTGGCTAGGATTATCCATCAACAACTTGCTCTGAAATATGGTTTTCTTGATTCTGCTGTACCTTATTACCAATACCAACCTCAACCAGTTCTTGATAATGGTCATGTTACGCTCTACTGGGACCGATCTATTATCACGGATAGGTATATTGTTGCCAATAAACCTGATATTGTGATAATAGATCGATCTGCGCGTCGAGCAGTGTTGGTTGATGTCACCATTCCTCATGACGAGAACCTCGTGAAGGCAGAAAAGGACAAATTAATAAAATATTTAGACCTGGCCCACGAGACTACCGCCATGTGGCATGTTGATTCAACCATCATTGTTCCAATAGTTGTATCGGTACACGGCTTGATAGCGAAAAGTTTCGATCAACATCTTAAGAAACTTTCGTTATCCAGCTGGGTTAAGGGCCTAATACAGAAAGCAGTTATCCTCGATACTGCACGCATTGTGAGGAGGTTTCTCACTCTGGAGTCCTAACCACTGGTGGCTTGTGTCGTAGACACCGCCATCAGCGGCAATCTATTTTTATATAGTGTTTTTTAAAAATTGTATTTTTAATATCTTTTTTAAAAAATTGTATTTTTAATATCTTTTTTAAAAAATATTATGTAATTAATAAGATTTTAAATAAATATAAATAAATAATAATAATAATAAATATTTACAATCACGCCACGTTAACTGGTCCCGTGATAAGTTCGTAAAGAACTTGTGTTACAGGTATCAGATAACGGATATAAATGTAAGATTTTTATTATACACATACATATATTTAATATACATCCATAACCCTGGAAAAAACATTTATATTAAAATTTATCATACAAATATCTTCCCTTGGCGGGATTCGAACCCGCGGCCTCCTTGTGTAGTGACCATGTCACTTACCACCACACCAGACGGCCGTTAAACAATGACAATGATCATTCGGTCATTCATGTGTTAAAAATTATGAATGTATTAAAAAGCGTTTTTTATATATCAATGACGATATGTAGTAAAAAGTAGCTAGTAACTAACACATATTATGATTGGTTGTTATGAACATATTAGAACGACTCCCGAAAACGAAAACATAGTTTGGTCGTGCTAGTGATTTCTGATACGTGAAACTTAAAACTGTATCATCTTAGTAGCACGCAATGGATCACAAATTACGGAGCTGACCTGTGATGTCACGTTACCGAATTCGTTGGCCAGCAGTCAACTTTTCTGATTGAGTTCACAACACTTTTTTTCCTATCTATGCTGATAGCCTTGAGAGGTTATTTCAGTTTCGCCTTGACGTGTAGGTTAGCTCACGGGGCTCAAACCGGAATTGTTGCTAACACTGGCCCTAGCAAGAGTAGTGCTTCGCAGAATCTACTACCGGATCGAAAACGCGACCCACTGAGAAGATCCGGCGAGAAACTCAGTGGGCTGTGTCTATGGGTTAATTTACTCGTCGAGCACTTCGTCGCAAGTCGACGGGTTCGGCGAGGACGGTGACCGTTGCTTGAGGTACCTAAAAGCACCTTTAATGGATCGGGAGGATCCGTGATGACGTGTTTAGGGCGACGTCGATTGTTTACCATTCGATCCACAGGATCAAGTATGTTTCACAGCACATGAACGAGAACTTGTTATGTATAGTGCTTGCTTACTATGTACCGTTAACGGTAAAGTGCTATGGTATTGTGTCTACAACGGAGTCGGCCCGTCTACGTCCCTTCAAGAAATGTATGTATAAATACGTTTGTACCTTAATGTATGATTGAACGTGAGCATCGAATCACTAAGAATGACACCTTATTTAAAAAAAAACCTTCGTTGATTCAGTATTATATCAACAGGTTAAAGGCTATTTATTTTAAGCAACATTTTTGCAACTTTATAGGAGAGCCATTTAAAATTTTTCAAATTTGGAAAAACGAACATATCGATAGACTTCTTCAGCTATCTGAATATAGTAAGTTTAATTGAAGTTCAATTAAAAACATCGAACTGTTGATGCTAATCACTACATAGTATAAAACAAAGTCGCTTTCTCTGCCCCTATATCTGTCCCTATGTATGCTTAAATCTTTAAAACTACGCAACGGATTTTGATGCGGTTTTTTTTAATAGATAGAGTGATTGAAGAGGAAGGTTTATAAGTATAAGAACATCCACTAAATAGTGGAGAAATCAATAATAAATCACAGTTTCCGAAGCGAAGCGAGTGCGGGTCGCTAGTACCAAATAAAACGCACCTTTAATTACAAGGATAAGTGAGTCGACTATTATCAAAGCCGGCAATGTGACTTTTGGACAATTATTGTTAAATCAGAAAAACGAATTATTGACTTTGTATTCCATTGGCAGTCACAAAACTCTTCTGAACGATATCTTAGATAAATAACAGGTTAAGTTAATACTTTATTTAATGCAGGTTTTGAACCGTATTCTTTGAAGGAGACGATTGATATTCAAATCAATCTGTATTGCCATATCAATAACATTTTTTTGTCCAAATGCACAGATTGCCACCTTTGATAATAGACGACTCAAGTGTCGGTATTAAGCCAAACGTCGCTTGAACCGAATAGCCTTTCACCCCTCGATATATTATTTTCTTACCATCAAGTACCATCTTAGCGGCAATGGCCGTCGGCAATCCTACAGTTCTGGCCATAGCTGTATGAGACGCAGGATCTCCCCTGACCGTCATGGTGACCTCTCGTTTCTCCTTTTTACCGTCGCTCCACGTAACTCCGAGCTCGTGTCGCAGAACCACGAAGTCTGTCTCGTCCTTGTCTGTGTGTAAAAAATATTGTAATTTTTTTATTTATTTTTTATTGCCCTTGTAGGCGGACGAGCATACGGCCCACCTGATGGTGAGTGGTTACCGTCGTCCATGGACTTCAGCAATGCCAGGGGCAGAGCCAAGCCGCAGCCTACCTATTTATGATGATCTGTCGTTGCGCTATATGTACTTACATAATATGAGTAAATAAGTAACTAAAAACTGATCTATCTGGTATTAGATAAATGTGACTCGTCTATAAATTGTTAATCTAGCATATGTTTACATATTTATGAAATCATAATATAAATCTGGCAAAATTCTTAAAATTTATTGAATTTTTTGTCTCGGCTAAAAACTAAGTAAAATCAATATGAGCGATATTCTTAGCAAAGTGACATATGATTTTAGAAAATATAACTTAAGAACCAATTGGAGTCTGTTGCGGTCAAAATACAAAACAAAAGTTTTAAAAGCTGTCGTTAAATTAAATACATTTTTCATCATAAGCTAATATGCAATAAATGCATTGGTTTTTATCAAGTGGAGTTCAAAGTTGACACAAACACATCAGACGCACAGTTTTTGTTTAGGTTATCGTGCAATCTGCCGACTCTTGTTTAACAACAACTTACTACTGAATGTATTTTCGAATAAGTATCCAATTAAATTCCATTACAGTGAAATCATAGTTTTAAGTGATTTTGTTGCCAAGCAGCATTTTAATCGAAATTAACGTACTTATTGACAGAAATTGATGTAGACGAAATATTAGAATCTATATATTAATACGTGAAGGAAAAACTTTGTATTTTTTTTTATTGCCCTTGTATCCCTTTTTACGAAAATTGCGCGGACGGAGGGGTATGAAATTTCCCACACTTATAGAGAATATAGAGAAGGAGTGCAGAATGTTAATATTTTTTTTAATTATGCTTAAAAAATACATTAAATCAATAAAAAAACATTACACACCCATTACCATGTATTTGACACACACACGCATGCATACTATTTATTTTTTGTTCTTGTTCTTGACGTCTGTGGTCAAATTGAGAATAGATTAAATATTGTTTGTCTTTATTAATATTTTTCTATAGTATTTTCTTGGCGAAATTTGTGATTATAGAAGTATAATAGTCTTTGAAAATAGAATCATAATAGTGTACAAACTTTTAATTTCAATTAATTATAGTTGAATTTCGACTACCGGACGACTACTAGTACAAATAAATTGAGCAGATACTAGGCTTACAGCAGTCAATTTCGTTAATTTTTTGTACTTGAAATTTATTAATAGAACGTATTGTGAATATGCCTTTCGGTTCGATGCAACCGTTGTTTTTTTTTATTATTGCCTTTGTAGGTAGACGAGCATACGGCACACCTGATGGTAAGTGGTCACCGTCACTCATGGACGTCAGTAACGCCAGGAGCAGAGCCAAGCCGCTGCCTACCATTAAGTACTCTCCGCAAGCCTCGTTTGAAGAAGGACATGTCATACCGCTCGAAAAACACCGTGGAGGGGAGTTTATTCCAAGGTCGGATGGTACGTGGCAAAAAAGATCTTTGGAAACGCACTGTCGATGAACGCAGCGGTTCCAGATAATATGCGGGAGGTGCGATGATAAATAGGAGATTAGGGGATCATCTCGAATAATTCCTCAGAGCATTCCCCATGGAATTAAGTTGTTTAATACATTTGATACTTCGATCATTTCTGAAAGAGGGTAGCGCCATGCAGTAATAATAAAAAAAGTATCTCATTCCCAGATACCTTAGACATGGCATCGCACGAAATCGAAGACTCAATTGAATTGCTATGGCTATGCTGCTCTTCGAAAAGGACGGGATGATGGTTCCTTCTAGCCTTCAAGTTTTTCAATAATTTCACAGTGCTCAATGGATAATTTCCAACTCACCTAACTGCAGCTTTTTACTAAGGTAATGACTGATCGTGTCCAACGGAGTGCCGCATTTGACGATTTCGCTATCACTGAGCAGTCCCAAGGATTCTACGGCTTGAGCTCCGACTGGCCCCAATTGTTCTGCTGCCCGGGACTTCAAGTTGTCATAGAATATCGACTGGTCCAGCAGACCAAGAAGTTCACAGGCAAATTGACGCTAAAATATACAAAATCATATATATATATTCGTGAGAATATTAGAGAGGATAATATTCGTGAATTTTAAGTCAATATCATTTTGATGTCTTATTATTTGGAACCTTACAATTACTGGTTTGTGGTAGAGGAAGTCTGAAATTGGCATCTGTGACAGAGAAGTTGAGAAGCGCGCGTTTGGGATGGTATGACATGTGATGAGACGAAATGACACTGAGGTTGTTAAGAGAGTTTTAACTATGAATGTGGAAGGCTTTAGAGGAAGAGCTAGACCTAAGAAAAAAACGATGGATTGCGTGAAAGACGATATGTGTAAGAAAGGAGTGAGCGAAGAAATGGTATAATTAATATGATAGAGGAGTATGGAAGGAGAAAACACGTTGCGCCGACCCCGGGTGACTGGGAGAAGGGCAGGAAAATGATGATGAATTACTGGTTTGTAGTTTAATTTCGTCGTCACTAAAACTGAGAAACACTTTAAATGTCTGGCGCTAATCACAAATAAGCACGCAAGTAACAAAACATATAGACACAATGCACAATCTCCTGTTTAATGTGTACTTAAGACGAATTAGTCGATTTAGATTTACCAGCCCGCCCCTGATCGGCGCTTGTAACAGTGCCAAAATATCGGGAACTCATTGTGAAAATCTTGGTGCCTTTTTAGATACTGTGCATAATCTAACTGCTTTTAACTTTTATTTAGCTGTAGTATAACTGCAAAAGTTTAGAACAAGTATATAGAAGACCCAGAGAGTAAAACTGTCTTTCGATGAAACCAAACGTACAACTTTTTAAAATGTTATTCTAGATTACAAAATACAAGAGATGTGAATTTTTTTTATATAGTAAGGCTACTGCTATTGTCTTCAGACTGAGTACTAGCTCCTTAGTTTTACTACTTAATGAATTACTAGACGATGACCGAGCTTTGCTCGGTTTTTTTTTTTGATAACGCCATCTTTTTGTGTCTTTAAAGCGGTTAGTTGCCCTTAATTAAGAAAAATAGTATTATTATTCGCCAATAGATGTCGGGAAGAGTTGATTATTGAAAACATTTTCTGAAAATAAATCGTAGCTAGATCGATTTATCGCCCCCGAAATCCCCTGTATACTAAATTTTATGAAAATCGTTGGAGCCGTTTCCGAGATTCAGATTATATAAGTATATATTAATATACAAGAATTGCTCGTTTAAAGGTATAAGATAAGATAGACGGTAAGCTGAGAAATTATCCGTATCGTACCCATGTAATGTTAGGTCCGTCTGGATGTAGAGATGGATGTGAGTTTGGATCCACCAAACCGAAGAGCTGTAAGGCTTTCATCGTCTCAGCGAATCCTGGTAAGAGAAAACTCAATTACAAAGCGTAAAGTGGTAGATATTTCTGCCGTGAAGCAGTCATGCGTTCAGATCTGAAGGGAATACACTATACAGTTGAGACTACGACTTATACCTCAAGCATTCGCGTTATGAACTCACATATCTATGAACTCCGGTGACCATTTACCACCAGATGTATATATATCCATAAAAAGCATGGAAAGAAAATACAATCAAAAACATTAAGAATTTCACAAGAACTTTTCGTGATGAAATGTTCCTCCTGACCAATTTACGCAAGTTCCTACCGCACGTAATATAAAAAATCTTCCCTCTCTTTCTATCTCTCTCAAATCTCACCTTTGTATCGGATAGTGCCCCTGAACATTGTGTGTGCCTCTTCTATACCGTATAACGTAGAGTAGATCGTGCTGTCTCTATTGGGGAACCCTTCGAACGCGAATCCAGGGAGGAAGTCCAGCTCTCGAGCCACTGACATCAGCTCACCGCCGCTCAACACTTCTACGATCTGAATATGAACAGCCCAACGTAACCTTTTTTACTGGTGGCGGGCAGGTACCACCGCCCTGCCTATTTCTGCCGTGAAGCAGTAATGCGTTTCGGTTTGAAGGGTGGGGCAGCCGTTGTAACTATACAGAACTTATATCTCAAGGTGGGTGGCGCATTTACGTTGTAGATGTTCATGGGCTCCAGTAACCACTTAACACCAGGTGAGCTGTGAGCTCGTCCACCAAACTAAGCAATAAAAAAATTTTTTTTTCATTAAGTTTCATTTAAGTAACAGGTGACAAGGATGTCACATCATTCGTAAAGTTAAAAGTCATATTTTATATGGGAGATGCTTATGTAAACAATATTTATTTATTTATTTAATACAAGTGTATATATTATTTACATTGGCGTACTTAATGCTTAAGGCATTCTCTACCATTCAACCAAAGGTAATGCAGACTAATTATTAGTAGGTACATCGTATATTGTGCAAGTATAAATTAAAAACACAAATCTAAATATTTATACAAAAATATACACATACTACATATGTACTACAATATACACATATTATGTAATATATATCGCACCTTTTGAATTGAAGTGGCGTAAATAAATTTTTATGACGATGAATTTTATACTTTAAATGACTTATATTAACATGTATTCTATCAGTTTATAAATATTAATTTTTTAATTTAAATTTTAGTCTAGAAAAGGATAAAGTACACTTTCAATCTCTTTTATAGCAATTTTATTTTATTTTAAGGCTTAAAGTATTAAAATCGAAACTAAAAAAAAGAGCCTGCAACGGCTTTTATATCGTCTACCCACCCACCTTTGGAACGGTCGTCCTTTTAATCTTTTCCCCTCGCGAGGGTACTTACTATTCAGTTACTAATTTAGCCCATTTTTCTGTTTTGCTTCTTATTACATGAATTTTGGATTAAGTCACTTCAATTCTAACGGTGCGATATATAATGTATACCTGTCTGTCTCCTTTCTAATAACACAATAAACTGTGTTCTTCGTAAATAAATGAATCAGATCAACTCTGACTGATTGGTAAACTGACCTGTCCTTTACTCAGATATTTAGCACTGGATATCGTGTTCAGTAGAACTCCACGAGGATTCCATGAGAATTTGTAACGGAGTGCGTTGTCACTAAATTCCGGTGCCGGTAAACCTTAAAAATATATTATATATATTACAGTCAAGAGATTCTACACTGCAATCCATACTATTTTAATATTATACATATATTTGAAAAAGTGTTTGTTTCTTTGTCTGTTCTTCTTTCACATCGAAATGAAGCAACGGATTGACATGATTGGACCACAATATATGGACAGCTAGTACGTCTATATTATTTAGTTATTGAACACCGAAACAATGCGCAAACAAATCTGTTCGCCACAATGTGTGCCCGCAATGGGAATCAAAGCCATAGCCCTCGGCCTAGCAGTCAAAGTACTAACTACTGCGCCATTAAATTATTATCTAGAGTGCAATATGGAATAGAGCGGGACCAAACTAAACAGTCGCTCTAGTTAATCGTTACATTTTAGACCATGTTATTTGCTAATTGGCGTTTGTTAAGTAATTTTAAATTCAGTTTATTTTGTTACTTGGATGGTAGGTTATCCTCACGATTCACCTGATATTGAGTGGGTACTAGCGCCCTTAGATGTCAACAATATAAATACCGCCACCCACCTTCAGACATAAGTTCTAAGGTCTCAGTATAGTTACAACGGCTGCCCCAACCTTCTAACCGAAACGCATTACTGCTTCACGGCAGAAATAGGCAGGGTGTGGTACCTACTTGTGCGGGCTTTTAGGTCAGCGTACTACCGGTAGCAAATTGGTTCGAATCACTGCCTCACTTCACAAATATAATCGATTAAAGTAATATTGACCTCCACAGTAAGAGACGAACGAGTCAATCCTTCCTCCGTGGCTCTGTATGTTGTGAATACACTCCAGCGCGAGCAAGTGGTCGATGCCGGGGTCGAGTCCTACTTCATTGAGGAACGTCAGACCCGCTTCTTTCGCGCTAAGACACATAATACTTAATATTAATAATTTTATTTGATTCTGTACTATTATCGATTACGAACAAATTAAAGTTCAAAAAAAACGATGATCAGACGCAGAAATAGAGTCAGAGCCGATTTAATCTACATCCAAAATTTTCTATTATATCCGTAAGCTTCGTTAGTCCAAGCAGTAAGCCTACAAAACTGATCGCAATCTGATAAAACAGTATGGCAGTGTATAAATTACGAAAAAATGAACTTTTTTAAATATACGGTCATAGCAAAATAATTGAAAGAAAAAAAATATAAACGTTTTAGTGGCTAAAAGATCGAATTCACATCGATAAAAGAATGAAAACTACAATAATATTTACCAGCTTTTAAAAAAAAATCAAATACGTACCTTTTGTGTAATTCCTGTACTTCGGGCCTAACATATGACGCGGTAACCAAATGTGCTCCAGAATTGAGGCAGGCCTTAGCCACAGTCCCGTGCAGGCCATAGGGTAAAAGAGAAATTACCAGTCTGGCTTTAGAGGTAAGGGCCTTAAGGGCTGCTTCGTCATTAGCTTCGAAGTATTCGGATGAGACACCGTACTTCTCTGCTAGAGCGTCTGCTTCCTCTTTCACTGCTGATGCTGGAAATAAATTAAGAGAGTAAGGCTGATACGATATTTAAATGTAAAGCTAGTGAGCTAGTACGGGTACCCTCCTGCCTCTAACTGATGCGAAGTAGTCTTGTGTTCTCATTTAATGGCCCAAGGGATAATTAATAACGATTTATTGATAGTTCACAGCGACTTGGCTGTACTTTTGTCATAACCGGTATGCTTGAGCGACGGTGAGCAATTGCAACACGCAAAAGCAATCGAATAATGAGAAAATAAAAATAAGCATGAAAAAGAAAATATCATACTATCAGAATCAGTACCGGATATTGTGGATAATAACTTTTTCATGTCTTTAATATAGACAATGACCCTTGGCGTAGGAAAGTTATCATCGAAAGCAGCTTGCCTCATTGAAGTGGTTACGGCTTACCAAAGCGCGCTTCTCAGCCTGCTCTGCTCTCCTCTAGTCCAAAGACCCATGTCCAAGTTACTTTCACATTAAAAATATTGATGTCAGTTACTCGGTGAGCCATAATCACGTGAATGATCCAAATTTTATCATCACTACGACGACATATTTCATTTCACATCCCAGCTTAAGCCAATCAACAGTCAATAAAATATACTCATAGAACATACCGACTGTCACAGCAATGTTTTTATCCCGGGACAGGTATTCCACAACGGGAGCGGACACCAATCCGCTGCCGAGGATCACTATTGGCGACTGCTGGTCGTTACCTTCCACTTTGTGACGGGAACGACTGAAATAGAGCATATTTCTCTGGTTAGTACCTCACGCAATTGTTTGACCGTTGTACTGAATCTACGTTGCAATAGGCCATTAGGGTTCTAGTTATTTTGGCTATGACCTAGAACAGTACTGCCCCATCGTTTCTTAATTCACGGGAGAATGAGTTTCTCGCTGGATCTTTTCAGTGGATCGCGTTATTTATCCAGTGGTAGATTCTGCGAAGCACTGCTCGTGTTAGGGCTAGTGTTAGCAACGTCCTCAGGCTAGAGCCCCATGAGCTCACCTACTCGCTTTGTTTCGCTGGCATAGCCCTCTAAGCCTACCAGCTTAGGTAGAAAAAAAGGGAGAATGGTTAGCAGCGTTTGCAGAGCATATACCAGCGTACTCCGGCTAATTAGTGGTAGGACGTATTGTAAGTCCGCATGGGTCGCTGCCACCGTCCTGCCTATTTATGCCGCGAAGCAATCATGCATTCCGTTTTGCAAGATGAAGCAGCTGCTATATTAGACAATTCAGACTTCGACTCATATGTCATACGGTATTTACGACGTATTGTCTATGGAGCCTGGTAACAATTTCACAAATCTTTTGTTTTCAGGTAATTTGTTATTTCCTTTATTCCTGTCTGCTATTTAAAAAGAAACATCACAATTATGTTTAGTATGTATAGAAATACATTATTGCTTTTCGAAGTATTCTCCGCGAAATTTGACACATTTTTCCATACGATGGAACCAATCATTGAAGCAACCATTCCATTCGGAAGTTGGGGTCTCCAAAATGGCCGATTTGTAGGCGTCCACAGCTTCTTCGGGTGATGAAAATCTCTGTCCACGCAATTTATTCTTTATTTTAGGGAAAGTATAGAAATCATTAGGGCTTAAGCCGGGGCTGTACGGCGGATGGTCTAATAATTCTATGTTTTCTTGCTCTAAAAACTCTTTTATTCTGTGCTCGGTGTGAGAACTCGCATTGTCGTGATGGAGGATGATGCGACGGTTGCAGTTCTCTTTACGGAGTTGAGAAACGACCTGTGGCAAACAAATGCTAGCATACCATTCTGCATTAACCGTTATTTGTCGCTCAAGAGGAATAGTCGTAACATGGCCGGTTTTGGAGACAAACGTGGCCACCATTTTTTTTTCAACACTCCGTGAACGAACAATTTTTGTTGGCTTTAACTCATTTTCGAAAACCCAAACTCGTGACTGGTTTTTTGTTTCGGGTTCGTACGCGTATATCCAGGATTCGTCACCTGATACAATGCTGTATACAGCATTTGAGGATCTTTGGTGGAATCTTTCGAGAGTTCTGACGCACCAAGTAACGCGAGCCGCTTTTTGCTCTTCACAGAGCGAATGCGGTATCCATCGGGAAAACAACTTTTTTACACCTAATTTTTCATGCAAGATTATTTGTATTTGACTCATGCCAATGTCTAAAGTTGCCTGAATTTCGCGGTATGTCACATGTCGATCTTCCTCAATCAGCTTACGCACAGCATCAACGTTTTCTTGGGTGACTGCAGTTTTTGGACGACCTTGACGGGGATCATCACTGAGCTTGACACGTCCACGTTGAAACTCAGCAAACCAGCGATAAATTGTGGTTTTGGATGGGGCTTCATCACCAAATGCAGAAATCATCCGGTCAACACACTGTTTTTGTGTTAAACCACTTCGAAAGTCATAATAAATCATCGCTCTTGAATTTTCTCGAGTCAATTCCATTTTCTCAACGACTAAACAAGTTTGACAAACCGAGAATCTTTTTTTAAATAAATAAATGGTATTCGATTTTTAAAACCAAGGAGTTTTCAATTAAAAAGATTTTAATATGACAGGAACAGTGGAAATATTCCATTCCCGATACTTTTAGTGCAGCCTAGTAGTAAATCGATTGGTTAAAGAAGGCCTGCGAAATTTGGAATTGTTTACGTGACGAAAATTGTTTTTTTTTTGTTAGAATGATCATGTATGTAAAACACTTACGTATTCGACATGCGTAGCTCATTAATGTATTCAAAAGATGGAGTCAATCTTCCATTGCTAGTGATGATAGACTGAAATAAGAGTATAATTTATAAACGTTTATACCAAAATTAATATACTAAATTTAGGCTAAAATCTTAAAAATAGCTTGGAATGAAAATAAAGAATGAAAAAGAACTAACTGGAATTTGGGACAAACGTTTTCATATCAAATTCAATAAAAATTGAATTTTTAAAAAAAGCTTAGATGGGTGGGCACGGCCTACCTGATATTAAGTGCCATTACTCGGTTTGAGACAGGAGTTCAAATTCTCAGTTCTATGTACAACGGTTACATCACTCTTCAAAGTGGAACGTATTACTGATTCGCGGCAGAAATAGGTAGGGTGGTGGTACCTACCCGTGCGGTTTCACAAGACTTCAGTAATTGCATAAATTATATTTTATACGGATTTTATTTTATTGCACGATGTTTATTCCTTCATCATGGAAGGAACTCTTGAACGCACGTTATGTACCTACGTATTTCCTTAGAAAAATGTAGTACACAACATATCGGCGTGATTTGAACACTAGCCTAATCGCATCGCTCAATATTTTGTACTGGGCGTCTTATCTTTTAGGCCATAACGACTTCAAATTTAAATTTAAATTAAGAATGTTTTTCACCCCATGAACAACGGACGAGAATTTATGTTCCTCCAGTGGTTTGGTAGCATCAGACTTCATGATGTCCTCTGCGTACGGATAGAGTAGGTCCCCGAAGAAATCGGTCGACTCACGAGGCAGTTGAGTTGGCATGTTATCGATGGAACACACAAGTACTCCTGCACCTTTGAAACTGGACAAAAGAAAAGCTGTAGAAACACATCTGCTAGGATGTTTTATTTATTTACTAGATGATGACCGAGGTTTGGTCGTTTTTTTTTTGATAATGCCATCTTGTATATTTAAAGCGGTTAGTTGCCCTCAATTAAGAAAAATAGAATATTATTTAATATTATTCGCCAATAGATGTCGGGAAGAGTTGATTATTGAAACCACGAATGAAACAACATTTTCTGAAAATAAATCGTAGCTGGATCGATTTATCGCTCCCGAAATCCCCTGTATACTAAATTTTATGAAAATCGTTGGAGCCGTTTTCGAGATTCAGATTATATTTATACTTAGTCTGGCCATAAATACTGTTACAATTAAAAATAAACAAAATATTACATTTGAATTTGGAATTTGTCATTATTATATGATTGCTCATTGAGTTTTCTCATTTTGGCGCCAATACATTGTAAAATATTTTGCGATATTAAAATGGAGTGGGGTGATAAAGGGAACCGAATCGCTGTGATTGCATTACGCAAAGTAGGTATGGAGCCAAATACAATTTTTAAAACTCTCCATACGCTTGGTATCAGTAAAATGTTTGTGTACCGGGCTATTAATAGGTGCAATGAGACCTCTTCTGTTTGTGACAGAAAAATATCTGGCCGTCCACGTTGTGTTCGTACGAAAAAGGTGGTCAAAGCAGCAAGGGTAAGAATTCGAAGAAATCCTGTCCGAAAGCAAAAGATTTTATCTCGGGAGATGAAGATAGCAACTAGAACCATGTTGCGTATTTTAAAAGATGGCTTAGGACCTACAGCCTATAAGAGACGTACTGTCATTTCTTAACTGATAATTTAAAAGAAGATAGGGTGATAAAATCGAAACAACTACTGAAGCAGTACGCAAAGGGAGATCATAGAAAAAATTTGTATACGGATGCGATTTTTTATACAATTGAGCAACATTTTAACAAATAAAATGACGGTATTTATGCTCAAAGCTAAAAGGAAGCTTCCTAATTAGTCAACAGAGTGCAACGTGGGCAGTATCCGACTTCAGTGATGGTTTTTTTTTTTTATGATTGAAAGTTTACTGGTGGCCCGAAGGCCTTTCCAGTTTCACCAGGACAGGTGGGCGAGCAAAGGCTCAGCCAAGAGGGGTGGGATTTGCTAACAACTGCCCGAGCGCCTCCGAAGGAGACCTAACAACTCAAGAGCAATTGTTTCGCGAATGAATCTACTACCGGATCGGAATCGCGACCCGCTGANAAAAAAAAAAAAACAATATGGAGGAGAGCAGCAGCCGCCCCCGGAAGAAGAAGGGAAGAAAGAAGAAAGGAAGAAAGGAAGAAAGAAGAATGAAGAAAGAAGATGAAGAAGTGAAGACAAAAATCGTCCCACCACTCATCTCGAGCCTGTGTACAGTCCATCCCGCAGTGCATCACCCCTATCACATCATAGGCGGGGAGCTACAAGTCCGGGTAGAGGGGTTTCCCCGAGGCCCGCTCCGCGCCCCCGCAAGGGGACGCGACGACCCCACGACGAGCGCTTAGTCATTCGTGTCCGAGCCGTTGTACTGTACGGATCTCTCTGTAAAGTTGTTACGCTTCTCGTGCAATATACGCAGTTCTCGTGAAGTTTTCTTTTAGTAACCCAAATATGAGTCACCATCAAGAAAGTAATAACCGTGACGTCACTAGTGCTGACGTCACACTTTTTGAAAACATTGCTTTTGTATCTACTCCGTCATATATATATATATATATATATATAGATTGCAACGATAATTAAGCAGACATCACAAAATAAACACTGGAACCCACCTCTTCGTATCCTTGTTTCTGTCAGCGTCATACAAGCAGAAGGGCGTGTCGATTGTAGTGCACTCATTCATGAACTCGATGGAACCTCCGGGGTCTGCTGATATGTCACAGATTGCCAGCATTCTGTAATTTAATGTTTGGTCACAGAATTCGTAAACCATTTACCTTTATTGTGCTTGATATCAATTTAAACAAGTTTTACGATTTAATCTAATGTTGCCATTATATCGAGGGGTGAAAGGCTATGTGGCTTAAGCGACATTTCGCTTAATACGCGAAATTTATCTTTGTATTTCAAGGTGCGTTTTATCTGGTATTAGCATCAACAGTTCCATGTTTTTTATTGAACTTCAATTAAAGATACTTGAAGTGAACTTCAATAAGGATATTCATTCAAATACCTGACGAAGTTTTTTTTGTTTCCAAATTTTCAACTTCAACTTCAACTTCCTATAAAGTTGCAAATATGTCGCCTAAACCAAATATCGTTTCACCGCTCGATATTATCTGTGATGTTTGGAATAATCTACTCGCGAATACCGAAGAAAAAGAAAGTTTGTATTCCAGTTAGGTTTTGAGTAACTAGAACGGGATATGAACGTTTTTCGTGAATGTCAAAAATTACCTGTGCGGTAACGCCGGGGCTCCGATGCTCTTCGGTAACCACGGGGTATGTGCCGGCATGATGAGGTGCTTCGCATCAGGTATCGTGAGTAGTTTCGGACTGTCAACTGCCCAATAGATGCAATTGACCAGCACGGATGTGTATGGTGCGATCTAAACAAAGATCTAAGTAAGAAAACACTGGTGCAGATAAATTCAAAAAACCTGACTGTGTTTTCTAAACGCTTTTGCAGTTTATGTGGTGTTAAATTTTATTTAAGAACTTTTTATTTTTATTCTCTTAAAATGCATTTAAACATAGAGCCCCATCAACAATTTTAACTGCACACCGTGAAATACTATCGAAAGACGAAAGACGATATGGGTAAGAGGGAAGTGAGCGAAGAAATGGTGTATGATAGAAGAGTATCGAAGGAGAAAATATGTTGCCCCGACCCCAGGTGACTGGGAGAAGGGCAGGAGAATGATGACTGAGGAATAGTATCCTCAAACCTCGTTTAAAGAAAAAGAAAGGAAATAGTTTGTATTTTAAGAAATAATTTCTTATCAAAAATTGTGGAAGAACGCTTTGATTCTAGTTAGTGAGAGATGAAGTCTGCGCTGCTGACGAATGGTGGCACGGTAAAGATGGAGATGACGACATTATCTTGAACAATTTCACAGACAACCTTCTACGAAACACGCTGTACAGAACATAAAGAGAATCAAAGTCTCTTTACCTTAACCCCAAAGTTTTTAATATGGTCAGAATACTGTTCCTGAAGACAAAATTGCTATATCTATGCATCATTTGTAGCTTATCGTATTCGCAAATTGACTTTTCGATAAGACGGTAAGTGAATTTTACTTAATGGCACTGTTTCGTTGACCTACAAATGCTTTTGACCGATATTAATGATAACAATATTATTGTATCAGCAATGTGCGTCTTATAACATATTTATTGATAGTATATATGCGATGCTTAGATCTTCAAGCGGTCTGGATGTTTATTTACTTTTACTACCCGCCCGAAAATAAAGTCGAATTCCAGAAGCTAGTCTTTTTTTTTTTTTTTTTATTGCTTAGATGGATGGACGAGCTCACAGCCCACCTGATGTTAAGTGGTGACTGGAGCCCATAGACATCCACAACGTAAATGCGCCACCCACCTTGAGATATAAGTTCCAAGGTCTCAAGTATAGTTACAACGGCTGCCCCACCCTTCAAACCGAAACGCATTACTGCTTCACGGCAGAAATAGGCAGGGTTGTGGTACCCACCCGCGCGGACTCACAAGAGGTCCTACCACCAGTAATTACGCAAATTATAATTTTGCGGGTTTCATTTTTATTACACGATGTTATTTCTTCACCGTGGAAGTCAATCGTGAACATTTGTCGAGTACGTATTTCATTCGAAAAATTGGTACCCGCCTGAGATTCGGTGCATCGCTCAACACGAACGCGCCGGACGTCTTATCCGTTAGGCCACGGGTTTCAAAACATGGAATCCACAATCATTTTTAATGATAAAATGTAAACAAACAAAGCATCGGTTTTTCTTGTAAGATTTTTTTTATTACCATTGCAAGTCGAACATCATACGGCTCATGTTTCAACGGGTGGTCACCGTCAGGACAGCTAAAACGCTAAATATCGTCAAGTCTCTTATGAAGAAGAAACATGGCACATGCGCATGCATGGCAAATGCGGAAATTTTAATACCCTGACCAAAGCCTTCAAAGCACTATTAATGGGACATACGACACAAAGCACACAGAGAATCAAAGTCCGTCTACAGTACCTACGAGATACTCCGAACGATCTACGGAAATGGGATTAACGACAATACGGCCTTCGAACACTTCAATTAAAGACCACATTTAAATTCGTATATCTCTTGTAATCCTCCTTGTGTATTCGTATTCGTATTCCTCACTGCTGAGGGTCGTGACCACCCTTTTGTACACCCTTCGTACATAGGTACCTTCGCACGCACGATCTTTCTCCATGTATTCTTGTCTCTGGCGAAGTCTTCTTGTCTCTTGTAATATTATCCTTATTTATAAAGAATAAGTAACTGACACAGACGATGAGACAACGCAGAGCTGCCGTCGTCCTAAGAAAATCTTATTCTCCCGATCCACTCTAGATGCTTTTAGCTCGCGAAGTACCTGTTACGGTTCCCGTCGAATAGCTGGCACAACGAACTCAATTTCACACCGGATCTTTTCAGTGGATTCTGAATTTGTTCCGGTAGTAGTGTGGCGGGTAGCCATCATACAACGCAAGATATTTGACAGATACCTGAATCTCGCTTACGACATTTTCAAGATAAGCTTGCATATACAAAAATTCCGAACAAGAATATTCGGACCGTCGGTCTACCGAGCAATATCACCCGCTCGGTGGAAGATCTTCCCTTTGTCGTATATCTCTACAGTAGATTCAGCGAAGCACTGATGTTGCTAGGGATCTTGTTTGAGCAAGTTGGCTCAGGTTGAGTCTCGTGAGCTCATCTACCGGTCCACGCGAAGTTGGAATAGCCCCTCAGACTACCAATAATTGAGTAGGGAACAAAAATAAAATACTTTTCGTATGTTTGTTTTCAGAAATGATATGCATTTCTGAATAATGTTTTTTTTTATAGCTTAGATGGGTGAACGAGCTCACAGCCCACCTAGTGCTAAGTAGTTACCCGAGCCCATACACATCTACGACGTAAATGCGCCACCTACCTTGATATATAAGTTCTAAGGTCTCAAGTATAGGTACAACGGCAGCCCCACCCTGAAAGCCGAAACGCATCACGGCAGAAATAGGTAGGGTGGTGGTTTTTTTGTCAATAAAAAAATGAACACTTTAATTTACATTAACACAATAATAACACTTACTTTCTGAGCGAAAGTGGATATGTATCTCTCTGGATGCTCTTCGTATTCATCAGCGTCGTAACCGCCGCCGTTCTTCCGCACCAGATGATGACGTCTGCGCACCTCGCAACCGTATATCTTGTTTGGACCTAAAGATACTCTACCATTAATACCAAGCCACGATTTTTTTGTTGCACTAAATCTGGTCAGATCTAGTAAGAGAAGCACTTGTGGACTTTTTGGCGGGAACGCGAAAAGTGATGTTGTGTGATTTGTTTTATTTTTTATCTATTTAGTGTTTCTTCAGGCTTAAATGTGTAATAACGGTGGTTTATTAACTATTTAATACCTGTGAAAGTGCACATATGTGGGAAAATGAAACAAAGTTGCTGGACGTAACTTACCGAGATCCTCCAAAAAGTCCACTGAAAAAATTTCAGTAAATGACCACCATTTTACTGAGATTATATTTCATCCCATATCATCTCATCTCATTTCGTTTCATTTCATCCCAGTTGATTAAGGTCTCAAATTAATCATCTCCATTTCATTTCATACTATCATTTTTCATAAAAATAAGAATATACATGAAAATAAAACATGACTTAAAGGTCTTAGTTACCAGGTCATAAAATCCCTTAAAAAAAAGCACTTGCTGGTAATCTGTACCATGCGGTCCATGCCATCCATAATCGAACACAGTGGAAGAACGTCACATGTGGTCGAAGGTGGTGGAAGAAGAAGAAATCGTTGGACAGTTTAGCGGTCACTGAGACGTAGATATCATAATGAGAACCCACCTTGAGACATGAGGTCCGACTCTCTACTGTATAGTATATCGCACCATTCAAAACCAAATTTATCATTACTTCGCTCCAAAAATAGACAGGATGATACCTATCAGTACGCACTTACCGTTCACCCTATCACCTGTAATATTGTTGACTACAAAAGTACGGTTTAAAAGAACGCTTACCGGGAGTATTAGAAATCGTCAAGATGGGTTCATTCGAAAACAATTTATATTGTAGATTATTCATTTTGATACATGTGTTTTGTTTGTCTGTAAATACTGTTCAACATTATTTGAACTGATAATACTCTGTAAAACTGTTTGTTTTTAAACTCATATGATTGTCTTTTCTTAGAATTGCAATACATTAAACATAAAAAAAAATACGTTCAGAAACTTTTTTCGATTTAAAAGGTAGTTGGTATTATATCAAAAGTATCGAATAGCTTAAATTTAAAGGTATTAAGAATAAAAAAGTTAATACCAATACTGTCGGATGACGGTGAAGTATTATTTGCATACATATTATTAAATATTAATATTACTATAGTACCATGGTCTTCTGGGATTAATGGACTAACAGATTATTTTCTTTTTATATTCTTATATTCAAAAAATGTGATACATTTTTAATGATACTTACTCCCGTGCTCTGCGACTTTCCTCAGCATCTCAGGCGGAACGTATTCGTGTGGGAGTTCTTGAAAGATTTCTTGACTACCCTGTCATACAAAACGAGGGCTTAACTTGTACTTTACAATTTGAGAGCCGCAATGTTAGTTTTTATTTATTGCTTAGTTGGGTGAACGAGCTCACGGCCCACCTGATGCTAAGTGGTTACCGGAGCCCACAGACATCTACAACGTAAATGCCGCCATCCAACTTGAGACATGAGTTCTATGGTCTCAGTTTTAACTACGGCTATCTCGCCTTTCAAACCGAAATGCATACTGCTTCACGGCAGAAATGGGCAGGGTGGTGGTGCTTACCCGTGCGGACTCGCAAGACGTCCTACCACCAGTAAAAAATCACATATTAGTAAACAAATGCACATTTTGGGGAGATTCAAGATGGCGCACATGCCGAAACATATCTTACATTTAACTTACTAGTATAAAAATGTTCCCAAAAGCTCTCCTCGACTGACTATTGAGAGCGATTGATTGCACACAAAATTGTGTGAATAACCTATTGGTGTTACGGCTTTTTTTTATTTATTGCTTAGATGCGTGGACGAGCTCACAGCCCACCTGGTGTAAAGTGGTTACTTATTTAGTTATTTGAAAGGTATGTAGTGTGGTGGTACCTGCGAGACGTTTCCGGATCCCGTAAATACGAATGTCAGTGGTCCAAGGGATTTGGGCATCATTCCCAAGGCAACTTCGTATCCCGCGTCCCGGATAGCTTGGCGGGCCATACTAGAATTCCGGTAGTTGTGAGCGGGACCTATATGCTGGGAACGTCTTCAATTAAATAAAACGGATGAAATAGCATTGATGTTTTGACACACACCCTCTTACACTCACTCACGCTCAGACTCATTACACACAGAGGGTACATTAATACATACATTTCAATATTTTTTGGTAATTTTTATATTTTTAAGCTCACATTTTGTCACTTTTATGCAAACCATGAATTTCAGTGTATTTTTTGTCTATTAACTTTCTATTTTTGTGTATCTGAAGTAAAGCTGTTGTATTCTTTGTACGAGGAGCACTGCTGCTTGAGATACAGGTTTTATCACCTAGTTCAAGCACAGATGCACACTATGTTTGTGTTTCTACTTCTATGTTAATAATAAATAAATAAATAATTTGAATAGAAGAATCATCAACAAACAAAATTACAACGACAACATTTTCGATACACTTCTTGACGTAACAAACGAAATTATATGATCACGACGAGTAATGATGGATGTATTTTACATAATTATATGATAAAGCTCGTATAAATAATTATAATCGTAACAAATATTTCTTTATCATTTAATTGTGCTATTTTCCATTGGATTTCGTTATCAGTTGTTTTCAAAATAATCGTTATCTGGTCACCTAATCCTTACCATAAAGGGAGTGTGGTGTCCGAGAGCCAATAGCCTCNTATGATCACGACGAGTAATGATGGATGTATTTTACATAATTATATGATAAAGCTCGTATAAATAATTATAATCGTAACAAATATTTCTTTATCATTTAATTGTGCTATTTTCCATTGGATTTCGTTATCAGTTGTTTTCAAAATAATCGTTATCTGGTCACCTAATCCTTACCATAAAGGGAGTGTGGTGTCCGAGAGCCAATAGCCTCAGACCGAGTCCGTGCAGAATGTTCACCATTCCTGCAACTCCTGCGTACTTCCCGAAGGCGACTACCCGATTCCCCTTGTCGTCCATCAACTTCTCGTAGTCTATTAAACGAATGTTCTGAAAATTGTAGATTTATTATGTATTGTTTGTAATTGTGTATATGTTGTTCCATATTTTGTGTGGCGCATTTACGTTGTCGATGTCTATGGGCTCCAGTAACCACTTAACACCAGGTGGGCCGTTAGCTCGCCCACCCATCTAAGCAATTAAAAAAAAAGTTAGATGAGCATACGTCCCACATGATGGTAAGTGATTACCGTCTCTCATTGACATCAGCAATGCCGGGGCCAGAGCCAAGCCGCTGCCTACCGCCTTAAACCGCTTTTCGCGGCTTTCCAGTCCGTTCATCAAATCCTAAATACAGCCAGTTTTGTTTAAGGGTGCATCTATATATTTATCGACCCACAGAGGTCCACATCTGGATATAGGCTTCCACTAAGGCTCGCCGCAACGTTTGCTCTTATGCTGCCTGCACTGTCATCGATTTACCTTATTTATGGGGGTACATCCATGCTACGTCTTCCGATGCACGGTTGTAATTCGACAATGTTTGATCCCAGGCTATATATTCTACAAACAATGTGCCAAAGGGGCATACAATTTAATGTTTTCCGTAAGCTAATAAACTTGTTTGGTTAACACTAATACTAAAGTTGTTATAGGTGTTAATTTTAGTATTGAGCTTAAAGAATACATTTAAGCGATATTAAAGTAACCTTCTAGTAAGATTAGTAATGTTTTTAACAAGAAGAAAAATTTGCTAAGAAATCGTTCGTATAGCGTACAATTTGTGGAAGTAAAGTTCTCAAGGAACTATAGAAAGTGAACTACTTGGGTAGTCATAGACTATATAGTTTAACTTAAGAAACGTTAGAAACTAGGAAAGCATTTTATTGTTTCGAGAATAACGTTTTCACTTGTTCAAGGCACTTCCTTAAGATCTTCTTTTTACCAGATTTATCTTCTCCATTTATGCTACACTAGGTTAAACAGTAAGCTTAAATTACTTCTACACTGTCACTGGTGGTAGGAACTCTTGGGAGTCCGCACGGGTAGCTACCACCACCCCGCCTATTTCCGCCGTGAAGCAGTAATGCGTTTCGGTTCGAAGGGTGGAGTAGCCGTTTTAATTAAACTGAGACCTTAGAACTTATATCTCAAGGTGGGTGACGCATTTACGTTGTAGATGTCTATGGGCTCCAGTAACCACTTAACACCAGGTGGGCTGTGAGCTCGTCCACCCATATAAGCAATAAAAAAAAAATAAAAAATAAAAAATTTACGATAACTTTAATATGACCAACCTTTGCCAGCATAGCATCCAACATTGGCATGTTGGCTTCCTGTGCCTTGATTGTATGAGAGAAAAAACAGTACGTCTTGTTAGGTATAAGTAGATCAATAGGAGTTTGCTTCACTCCAAATATAACGCTGGCTTCGCTGATGTCCTCCTGCACTATCGCCCCAGCATTTATGTAAGACTGCAAATGAAGATAGATCACGAACGTCATAAAATTTAATGGTAAAGTCTAACAATGTAAAACTAAATTTGCGCAGTATATTTTTGTTGATTCTTGTATATTGATCTATGTGAATCAAGGTTCAGTATTTTATATGCGAATATTTATAAGAGTACTTTCAATTAACTATACTATCATTACCACCTATACCATTGTTTTAAATAATTTTCAAAATCCATAATCTTATTTAAGATGCATATTTTTATGACGTATTTATTTGTTGGTTTCACGTTGTGATGTCCAGGATACGAGAGTCACTTAACCCTAGATGGTGTCTGGATTTTGGTCAATCGTGTACAATAGTAGGGCCACTTCTCGGAGCATATTAACAAATAGCCTTGAGAGGCTATTTCAGCGTAACCTTAGCTAGTAGGTGAGCTGACGGCGCTCAAACCGGAGTGATGCTAACACTGAGCAAGAGCAGTGCTTCGTAGAATCTACCACCGGATCGGAATCGTGACCCACTAAGAAGATCCGGCGAGAAACTCAGTGGGCTGTGTCTGTGGGTTAATTTGCTCGTCGAGCCCTTCGTCGCAAGCGACGGGTTCGACGAGGACGGTGACCGGTGCTTGTGGTACCTAAAAGCACCGTTAATGGATCGGGAGGATCCGTAATGACGTGTTTTGGGCGATGATCAAACTGCAGACACGATGTTTTGTTTTCGGCAGAAATCTGAATGCTACCTGCATAGGGTATGCTCGCCGATTGGAGGGCTGGACGATGACCTTCACTCCTTCTCTGACGAGACTTTTCACGTTCGATGGTGAAAATGGCGCTCGTCTTTCCCATACTGACTGATCTTCTCTTCTTATCGCGATTACTCGACGAGTCTGAAAAAAAGTTGAGTAAATTGAGTTTAAAAACAAAAACAAAAGAGACGCTTAACTAGAAAACCGAACTAACAAATAGTTCAATCTTTTATCTTAAACTGGTCAGGATATCAGAGCGAAGTAATAAAGTTATTGCATTGTCATTGGCCCTTGATGAGTCTGTAAATTTTCAAGTTAAAAGGTCGTCTTGTTTTCGGTGAAAATGACGATCAAAGGTTCCGTTACATACAATCAAACATATGTACATACGTACATACATATATACATACCAAACTAATAAAGGCCTTCTAAAAATGTTTATGACACGCCCACCGTGTGAAATGTCTGAATTGCTTTGTATTACTAGAGTTGAAACCGACCCAATAAAACAAGGTTTATTACAAGCGAGACAAAGGTATTGTTCCACTACATTTAAAATTTTCAAAAACGATGAGGCTTGGAATTTGATATAGGCACGATGATGATTCGTATCCACACAGACTCAAAGACTGTTTTTCTATCGACATAGCAGCAGCAGTATGACAGAAGAAATTTATAGCCCACCCTAACATAGGACTTGTGAGGCGCATGTGAAATTATCTCAATAGACAGAACAAAGGCTTTTCTAGTTTATTTGAAAACTGTTTGATTCACGGGCACTGCGAATATCAGAGCAAAATAAACCAACCGATCGAACTGTAATGTGTATGTCCCACGATCACAATTTTACTGGTGGTAGGACCTCTTGTGAGTCCGCGCGGGTAGGTACCACAGCCCTGCCTATTTCTGCCGTGGAGCAGTAATGCGTTTCAGTTTGAAGGGTAGGGCAGCCGTCGTAACTATACTGAGATCTTAGAACTTATATCTCAAGGTGGGTGGCGCATTTACGTTGTAGATGTTTATGAGCTCCAGTAACCACTTAACACCAGGTCGGCTGTGAGCTCGTCCAACCATCTAAGCAATAAAAAATAAAAAAATAATGAAGGATCTGTGTTCACGTATAAAGACGTGTATATAATTGGCAAATTATCACTTATCGATAGCCACGTTCTCCTTAGTGACCGCACTTGAGGAACGACCTTCATGAATCTTATCATGTACAAAAAACGTGACCCTGATTAAATTCGGTAAACAAACATCTATTACTTCACAATTCAAAATGCTACAACACTAAATACTGTTTTGGATTTCAAGACCGTGGTCGTACTCTTAAATAATACGAAAAAGATAACCGACTTCCGAAAATAAAATGAGAAGATCATCAATGTATGTACCTAGTCGAAGATAGTTCAATATGTATTACGGAAAACTCGAAAACTACTGATCAGATTTTGATAAAATTGATCACGAAATGGACCTCATAAGCACCATATTTCAAATAAAAAATAATAATCAAAACCGGTTAAATTTTTAAAGAGATCTGAGGTAACACTAATGAAAAAGTATAATTCAATTGAGAACTCCCTCATTTTTATCGGTTAACTGAAAATTTCACTACACCTGAAAAACGGAAGTCAGCTGAGTTTCAGGAGATGGCTAAGAACATAAATCTTTTCATTTAATGGCGAAAGAAGCTACGAGAGGGTTTTAATAAAAATCGAATATAACCCTGAACTCGGTTTTGTAAATAGTGCCCATCTTATCTTATCTTATCCGTGATTTTACGAACGGGGACTACGATTGCCCAACGCTTCAACCCTTTGGATCATTCCCCTGTCCTGTATATCCAAACATCGCCCGGATAAATCCTGCATTAGTGTTTGGATATAAAAATCTATGGATAGACATATTTGTTCAGGTAGCTACTGTCCAAGGTGTTCACGACCGTATCATCAACACTTAAGGTCACACATCTCCGACATTGGACTAGGATATGTTTGCAAAGAAACAAGTTCCGAACAATAAATAACATTCGGATTGTCGGTATACCGAGCAATATCACCCGCTCGGTGCAAAAACTTCCCACTGTCTGTCTGTTACCCCTAAAAGCACTTAAATTTTTATGCCGAATGTCTGAAAATATCAGAAAAAAGTGCGCAATTTTCCTAATTTTGTGAGTTAAGTATTTTTTATTAATCAAGCATAAAAATAATAAATAAATAAGGAAGAAATAATATATAGTAAAAATATGTAGGTCTGCTTGTATTGAATTATAGATATTTACACACGGTGACTGTGAACCAATTCTCTAATTATAGCTTCCATAAGTTACAATACAACCATTCTCAATTTCAAAATACGACCATCGCTTGGGTCAAATTTTATCAAGGGTTATGATAAAAATACAAAAAATTCAGTTGTTATCGAGCTTGAAAGCAACCGAGTGCTGCAGTGGCTAGCTCTTGACACACCCTAAAGATAAGAAAGTCAATAAGGCAAAGCAACGAATTTAGATAACAATCGATAAATATTTGAAATAATCCATTTATTTTTATCGTGGCAACAATTTATCGATACTAATTTTAATACGATTCGTTTTAAGAAACTGTTAATAAACAAAAATGTCTTAGATTTTTAATAATTCTATACGCATCGCCTCCTTGGTGCTTAAGGCTATCATCACTAATCACAATAACAGTGACAGCTTTGAAAACTTTACATAGATTTAAAAAAATTGTATACACATTGTAAATAAAATACCAAAGGTCCATTATATTACGAGAAGATAATTTTTCATCATAATCGTAATTAACATTTCGATGACTTTAAAGTCGATACAGTTTCGTGCAGAAGCTTATCAAATATGGCGTCGGAGTGGAAAATCACAGAGAAATATTGTTTGTATTAGTTAATTCAGAGAAAATCCTTATGTTTACGTTTACAGATAACAGTTTGATTGTTATTGTGCACGTATTCATATCACGTGGACTTCGAAACGACTCAGGTAAAATAGAGATTAAGAAATTGTTAAGCATTGTGAGCCCCGTCAAAGCTAAAATGGCTAATAACGTGCCCAGCATTTTAGATATTAATGAGGCGACAGTAACCATTTAAGATCTGACTGACCGGTATGTTTTTTTTTTATTGCTTATATGGGTGGACGAGCTCACAACCCACCTGGAGTTAATTGGTTACTGGAGCCGATGGACATCTACAACGTAAATGCGCCACTCACCTTGAGATATAAGTTCTAAGATCTCAATATAGTTACGGCTGCCCCACCCTTCAAACCGAAACGCATTACTGCTTCACGGCAAAAATAGGCAGGGCGGTGGTACCTACCCGCGCGGACTCACAAGAGGTCCTAACACCAGTAATTGCGCAAATTATAATTTTGCGGGTTTCACTTTTATTACACGATGTTATTCCTTCACCGTGGAAGTCAATCGTGAACATTTGTTGAGTACCTACGTATTTCATTAGAAAAATTGGTACCCGCCGGCGGGATTCGAACACCGGCGCATCGCTCAACTCGAATGCACCGGACGTCTTATCCTGTAGGCCACGACGACTGTATGTTATCTTGAACGGTAAAAAAAATGCTCATCTATAAAAAAAATACCAATATTTCGTACGATTTATCTCGCGAAGAATTCACGTGTGGAGAGCGAAATGAAATTAACTGTCTGCACGTGTGGCATTTTTAGATCACACCGTAGCAAGGGAAACAAGTAAATATTTCTTTCAGGACTTACTGTAATACCGGTCACTCACATTTGCATGAATACGCAAACCCGCAAGTGTAGGAGGACATTTGCAAATGATTATGCAAAGTTTTCCCTGCATTCGTGGTTTTCCAAGCTGTCGGTTTTTTAACAGACATCAAAGCGCGCGAACCGCGATCCTTCGCGTAGTCTCCCACACATTCGTGTGACCAGTTGTGCCCAGGATTGCGAAGGCAACGGACATTTCGCTATTTCCATAGATCGTGACGTCTACTGTGTAGCGTATCTTCATCAAAAGAAATCCCATAAAAACAGCATGGCTGTTAATGATGTCTGGGAAAGAATTCAAAACTCTTTTTCTCTTCAATGTTCTATTGACGAATTAAAAAGGAGGAGAAATTCGTGAGACATTCGTAAACAAGTGTAGGAGGAAGCGCAAACGGGTTCGCAAATTGAGTACCGNGTCTACTGTGTAGCGTATCTTCATCAAAAGAAATCCCATAAAAACAGCATGGCTGTTAATGATGTCTGGGAAAGAATTCAAAACTCTTTTTCTCTTCAATGTTCTATTGACGAATTAAAAAGGAGGAGAAATTCGTGAGACATTCGTAAACAAGTGTAGGAGGAAGCGCAAACGGGTTCGCAAATTGAGTACCGAACCCAATTTTGCACAGCCGCTAAGTTTGCGAATGAATGTTTGACGGCCCTTCATAATAGCAATGCATAGGTTTCGGTGTAACTGTTCTTAGTTTACACAACGTTGATAAGACCGTTAGCGAACTCTTCAATTTGATTGATTCGTTTTCTTAAAATGATTTGTTAATTTTCAAATTAAATTTTACTAAGGTTATCTTGGCTCCACAAACCAAACCACCACAACAAAAACCATTTTATTTTATTTTAATATTAATACTAATAATATATAGGACATACGTTCGAAATTACTGCGATGATTTGCACATATCATTTTATAATAAAGATTAAAGTTCTTACTTCGGTATCGGTAATTTTATCATGTCAGTAGAATAACCTACTTCATAATATAATAAACATATTAGTATCGGTGTATATAATATAGATCATGAGATAATAAATATTAATTCAGATTTTTTCTTTAGTGCTTCTTTCCACGTGTATGACTGCTCTATAAGTAGTCAAATAATTTCAACATCTTAAGATTAAAGCCGCGATTATGTTTAATTAAAATTCATTTTGGAGAACGTCTGTGTATTCTAAAAATACCGCGAAAGTTTTAAAACACCATTTTTACAGAGTAAACATTTACCAAATTTGCATGCATAGTTCTTAAAGTGAATGTTACAAGCAGACGTGCGCTTGTTTCACCGGCGGCTCAAATCAAGAAAATAAGCTATTATTATACGAGGCTGTATGTAAATCTTTTCATTAAAATACCACAATTAATACATATTAGTTAATGAATAAGGTTAAATGAACATGTTGAAATTGTCTATTTAGGCGTTCTTATTTCGCTCATTTCGCTCATTCTCATTTCTTTTCATTTTCATTAACTAATATTTGCAATTATGAAATACTATTTTATGTATGTATACTTCGTTTTATTAACAGCGTTATAAAAATATTGGCATAGACCGATTTTTAATTTTAAATTCTGTGGCTTAAAAATTTAATAGTTATAGGTTAGCTCATAGGGATTTTTTTGTTATTGATCGAATGCTAGACGATCAATAGGTAAATATCGCATCTGTATCAGAATTCATTTACCTATATGTATCAATGTATTCAATATCAATGTGTAAGTATCAATTCATATGTATCAATAGATCAAGAGACACCATAAGGCTAGTTTTGATAAGTTTAGCGTCTACTACTAGCACCATTCCTTTAGTATTTGTGACAAGTGAAAATAATCAAGGTATGTGACTACATTTCAGAACTTCACAACTCAAAACGAAATGCTTATCAAACCATCATTAGCAGTTAAACTTCCACTATCCTATCCTATCTATCGTAAAGGAATATATAATTGAGATTTCGATCTCCGGTGGGTTTCAGCATTCAGGTAGAATTGTCTATGGGCTCCGGTATAATATGATGAGCCGTGACCTTGCTCACCGATTTATGTAAGAAAAAGTATTTAATTTAGCCACCTAGTATTTTTTGGCACTAGTATGTATTGATGTACCTATCGCAAATTTTTATCCTAGGTATCTCTGCAGCAGACACAAAATCGAATAGCGTTAAAACCTTCCGGTCGTTTGTATTATTTATTATGTTTTCCTGGTTCACGTTACAGCTGGTATCTAGGTATATTAATGTCATCTCCACATCTCCGACTATCTTATTGCCCATGTCCTGCGCTCAGTGTAAATTTTCGGTGTTTTTCATCGTGTTTACATACAGAAATGGAGCATCTTTAACAAGAAGATTATTCAAGAACGTAATAGTTACTAAGCCATAACGGTCAGCCGATCTGGAGTTCGCGATATTTTAGGACAAGTGTTTCTCATCTCTCACCGACATGATTAACCGTTCCCCAAAATTTACCCACCGCTAATGTTTCTGTTATGANCAGTGTAAATTTTCGGTGTTTTTCATCGTGTTTACATACAGAAATGGAGCATCTTTAACAAGAAGATTATTCAAGAACGTAATAGTTACTAAGCCATAACGGTCAGCCGATCTGGAGTTCGCGATATTTTAGGACAAGTGTTTCTCATCTCTCACCGACATGATTAACCGTTCCCCAAAATTTACCCACCGCTAATGTTTCTGTTATGATTCCATTATTTAACTAAATTTAGCGGTGTGTTTGTTGCGACCTCTATGTTTTTAGATATTTATAAATAACTAGCTGACCCGGCAAACTTCGTAGTGCCTCAATCGATAAATAAAAGACCTAAACTTTTGTATAAAATAAACTTAAAACAAACAAAAGGAATCCGTCTGACGGGGGACACATCAAAGGGAAAACAAAATTGTTATTTTTATTTAATTCCGAGCATTTTCATATTTATCTTCCTTTTAAACCTTCTCTGGACTTCTACAAATAATTCAAGACCAAAATTAGCCAAATCGGTCCAGCCGCTCTCGAGTTTTAGCGAGACTAACGAACAGCAATTCATTTTTATATATACAGATAGATAGATAGATAGATAAAGCCAGTATTAGCGTCTCTACAACGAAGACTATAAGCGGTCGCCATGACTATAATCAGCTTAAAGATAATTACTTGAATGGTCCGTATTATGCTTAGAAACTTTACACTCGAGTAATTTTGTAATAAAATTAGATTAGTTTTTTATTTATTAAATTACTAAGAACCAAAAGTTTTCCTTTGATTAGTTCATAGATTCGACCGTCAAATATTCATTCATACAAAAACAAACGTTTTTCTCGTTAGTGATATTAATGTACGTTAATAAACTAAGCATTGATATTTACCAAAGAGTTGACAAAATTGGTCTTAATCAGTCCATTCATTGGTACATCTTTGGTTTCTGCGTTCGTCCATATTTTCAAGATCCACTTAAAAATATGTTGCAAGCGCTTCGTAATCTACGAGCAATTCGACACAACTCTATAATCCCAATTATTAGAAAATAATGTAAACAAAATCATCACTATCCATTATCGGAAAGACCTTGTCAAAATCCGGATTTATGCCAATCACATCTTCCCCCGAATTCAGGTCAAGTATATTTTCTCCAGAATTAAAAGATCTTAATATTGTTAGCACCCTTAATATTGTTCATCAATTGAATACTGAAAACCTACTATTGATTTGTAGAGACAATTAATATCAGCTTCAGTTAAAAATGAAAAAGTCCTAAATTCCGACTAAATATTTTCTGCCCCCAAGTACGCCTTTGATTTGCTAAATCACAGATGGTTTTTTCCCTCACTGAATCTATTTTTTTTTACATTTGTTATGCCTAAGTATTTTTCAAATATCGGCGACATTGTGGCTCTTTTTAAATAATTTTACCGTACTTCGACATACCTACTATCTATACTTCGCTATAGTAAAATTAAGCTGAATTCAAAATAATGAATGCCAGTCCACTTGCAACTTGCAAGTGACCGATAACTGTTTGGTTAATACACACGTTTCTAACGCTTATTTTGTTTAAATCTATGGTTTTGTAAAGTATAGATTCTGTTTAAATGGTTTTTAAGTTCTCGCATAATTTTCAGACCGAAATTCAAGAAAAATGCTCGAAGCTTTAATAAATTGTATATTTCAAATGGTAACAATCCAATTTTAATATCATATTATGTTCAATATATTTAGTATAGGATTTTAAATCTGTAAAATTACATAAAAAAAATTCATTCATTAAAAAAATCCATAACTCACCTTCGTCGAAGAATAAAAAGCAACGTTTTGAATTATTTGACCCTTTGAACGGAGAGTCGCCGATTTGTGTAACATTGTAATTTAAAATTATCAAACACTTCACAGTGAATTTAATTGATAACGAACCAGTAAACCACAGTACCGCTTCTGGTGAACTGTGTTTATATTCTATATGCGAAGCTACTTCAAGAAAACAATCAGCTCGGCATTATCACTTCAACGATAGCCCGCCAGTTCGCCCCGAACTTACACGTCAATAAGTGATTTTACAGAACGAGATTGCTACGTAGTGGATTTATAATCGTGTTTATTAGATAAATTTGCCTCCTATCAATATTTTACAGATTAAATACTCTATTCTAATTTCTAAGCTTGAACATTTATCTGACAAATTAAATACTTAAAGTAATAAAGAATTACACAATTAGTTCATTGTGTATATGAGCATTAGGAGTAGGGTGGTAATTCGAAGAAAATAAGATCCAATCACCTCGTTTTTACCATCGCGCCACCTGCTACCTGAACAAGCTCACCCATACTACCAAGAACCACTGCGTTTCCAGATATATTTTCTGCCACATAACATCTGGCTTTGGAATGAATTTCCCTCCACAATGTTGCGCTGTGACATGTATTTCTTCAACTTATATTATCGGATAGTACTTAGCGGTAAGCAGTAGTTTTTTTTATTGCTTAGATGGGTGAATGAGCTCATAGCCCACCTGGTGTTAAGTGATTACCGGAACCCATAGACATCTACAACGTAAATGCCACCACCCACTTTGAGATATAAGTTTTAAGATTTCACTATAGTTACAACGACTGCCCCACCCTTCAAACTGAAACGCATTACTGCTTCACGGCACGGAAGCAAATAATCTTATCACGAGAAATGAAGATTCCCGCTAGGACTCTGTCGCATATTATAAAACAAGACCTGAAGCTCGGTGCTTATTGTCGATATACAGGAAATGCCCTAAATCAATATTTACAAGTAAAGAGAGTGGATCGATCAAAACGCCTTCTGTCGCGATACGCAGGTGAAAGGCACAGAAATTCCTCATTACCGATGAAAAATTTTTCACGATTGAAGGACACTACATTAAGCAAAATGATAAAGTGTACGCTCACAGTTATAAAGAAGCTGCTCAAGTGGTCGGAAAAGTACAACGTGGTCATCATTATGCGTCAGTGTTAGTTTAGTGGGGCGTGTCTTATCAAGGAGTCACAAAACTACATTTTTGTGTAAAAGGAGTGAAAACTTCAGCCAAAGTGTATTTAGATACAGTCTTGGTTCATATAAAACCTCTGAGCAATAAACTTTTTAAAAACATACCGTACGTGTATTTTCCAGCAGAACTCTGCACTTGGTCACAAGGCATAAACTACCCAAGCCTGGCTTGAAACCAACGTTCCGGACTTTATAAGGGCTGAAGACAGACCATCGTCTAGCCCAGACCTCAACCCTTTAGACTTCAAACTATTGTCAGTTTTAGAGGACATAGCCGACACGGCGACATTGAGTCTCTTAAAAACCTTGGAGCAAGCAGTGGTGAAATTTCCCTTGGAAACAGTACGTGAATCTATAGATTCATGGCCAAACAGATTAAAGGCCTGCTTAAAAGCTAAAGCTGGCCATTTCGAATAGAATTTTTTATTAAATTTTTTGCTTAGACTACAAATATGTATGTATAAGTTTTAATAAAATTATATTACTTCATTTCAAAAAATGCATTATCGTTTGTAACCGAACTTTTATGGCTGCACTAGGTATATTGTGAATTTATGATTTAAGAATATGGACCTTGATGCACATCAGAAGAGACGTATTAAAATTAGAATGATTTCCACTTAAGGTAACTGAAGCTTATTTACAGTTTGCAAGATATGAATCAGTCTATCCAAACAATCCATTTGCCGGGGCACCTCCATCCCATGAAGTACCACTGAGAATCTACAAGGATATTGGGATCATTGACGTTAATATACCGAGCGATTCCCAATATCAAAGCTCATGGTCACGAAAGGCAAAAGTTAAGAAGCCTTATGGAAGTTAGGGGTTCTTAGCTAGTCGAGACAGTGTCAAGTTGAAGTAACCCGTGCCTAATAATGCAGTAATGCATTTCTATTTGTATATGGCCATTATTCTAGGGATAGTGCTCCAAGAAATTAATAGAAATGGTGCCTTCTCTGCGTAATTTTCGGAGTCATTTAATGTTTAACTTAACATCTCGCTCTTTTTGCACAATACTCATAGAAATAGCTTCAGGCTCTTATTTAAAAAATATATCCTATTGTTTATATTCCTTGTCCATTTCTAATTATACAAATCAAACAAAGTAATAAAGTTATATATTTATGAATGTTCACAAGTTTCTTCATATTTATCGGCCTATAAAACAAATATAATATAATACTTGGCTGTATGTGATATTGTTTTCTTTGCCGGTCTAATTGTAAAAAAAATATATATTCTATGGATAGTTGTCACTTTGAGTTGAGCGTGAAGGTATCGTTTCTCTGAGAAACAATACGAAAAATAAAAATAAAATTTTAAATATAAAGACAACTAATTCTAGATTATTTGACAAATCATACAAAGATGTCAGTAAATTAAAATATAATAAGAACATACATTTCGAACACCATGGTTCGTTTCCTGTCTGAGGATAAATTGAAAGGGTTCGAGAAATACAAAGTGAGTAAAATTGTTTAATTTAAAGCCTTTAATTAAAATTGCCTTTTTAATTGTAAAGCTGATTTTTTTCAGTACAACTCAGTGGACACCAGTGTACTCAGCAATTATGTTATGCACCCTTTTTGGAATTGGTGCGTCCAAGTAAGTAACCAACTAGCCTTGATTAAATAATTGACATGCTGTAAATCAGCAGTATAAAATTCACTGATTTTAGTTTTATAAATATTTACAAACTCTTGAAATTTTAACTCGATTAATTAAGCAATAAAAAAATTAAAAAAAAATCAAAATATTTTTTTCTATTAAAATAATACCTTTAAATATTCAAAAAATGTTTCGAAACTAATGGCATCCTCATGCAAATATACGTAAAAAAATTGCTTAATACACATTAGCACTGTAAATAATAATTAATTTGCAGTTTTGTCCTGTGTGGGTAGCACCGAACTTGCTAACGTTTATGGGCTTCCTCCTCACGGTCCTTAATTTCTTGCTTTTCTCATATTATGATTATGGATTCTACGCTTTGACTGGAGATAATGCTACCAAAGGCAGGATACCACCTTGGGTGTGGGCCGCGTCTGCTGTGAATCTCTTTGTTGCATATACTTTAGGTGAGTGAGTTAACAATTAACTTTAATTCAGTAATTAATAATAATTTGTATAAAACACAAAAATATAATAACTAAGTTAATAGTAAGTTGAAAGATCAAATTTTGATTTACAATGTATTATTATCTTAGTTTTTTCGTTTTGTGTCATAAAACAGCTCAAGCTTCTAACACAGCCTAAATTTTGCTTTTATTATTTTCATTGTAGTATTTTTAAAGTATTTAATACTTACAGTTTGGTTTCATGACATTGTTACTTATGTGATTCCAGTGTTATGTATTGAAGTTTGAACATTATGCATATCTACTGCACTAATTTTATGCAAATATTTATTGGTATTTACTACATACACAAAAAAAAACTAACAATATATTTAAGCCTGACAGTTGATTTGACTTTGGGTTTGATCTCCAGAAGATGTGGTAAATGTAATTTTACAATTTTATAATCTTCTATTTGAACTAATTTACTATAACGGGATAAGTAAATTAAACATAAAAAAAAACCAAGTATTCGCTAAAAATAAACAATAAGTAGAGATGAAATAGAATTTTCTTTCATAATTGATCCAAGAATGACTATAAAATGAGGAAAATACATCAAATGTTTGAAAAATATTAATGAGATTAATAATAAGACAATATCACTCAAATATTTTATATTTAATTATAGTAAATAATTGAGTGGCTAATACATATATATAATGTGTGAAACTTTGATTATATTAATTATACAATTAATGTAATTTAAAATAAAAAATCTAAGAAAATTAAGTGTGATTAGCCTTCATTAAAAAAACATTATGCTATGCTACTGAAAATAATGGCAAACCTACATGGTTTCTTGTAAGAAGCGTAAGCAGATTTTATCCATGCAAATTTTAACTATACTGAGACCTTAGAACTCATATCTAAAGGTGGGTGGCAGCATTTACATTGTGAATGTCTATGGGCTCTGGTAATCACGTAACAACGGTGGGCTGTGAGCTCGTGCATACATCTAATCTAATAATAAAAAAATTGTCCCTGAACATGGGCAAAACCAAATTAGGTAATAACTTTTTTCCACAAGTAACCAATCGTACCATTTCTGGTGTTTAACAACAAAGAAATAAACTTATTACATTTAAGTCCCTTTCACAATCTCTTCAGACCAGGACTATTTTAAATAGATATTCTTCAAAATTATCGACGCTCGCGGCTCTTGTTTTCAAGATAGTGTTACGTATTTATCAACGTATTTCATGCAGAACGTAATCTTTTACATTGTTGCTATGTTATAATAGTTATTAGTTTCGATGCGAACAAATATAATTATTTGCACAGTTTTATCGGCGCGGTCGATCATTTGGAACATATAATGGAGAAAAAATTATATTACGCAAAGCAAACATTTGATCTTTGTAGATTTTGCTAAGGCTTACTACAGCATAGGTAAACCGACTATATGGAATCCTCACCAGCTTTTAAATCCCACGGAAACTTGTGAGAATGGTAGAGGTTGCTGCTAGGGAAAGTAGAATGACGGTACGAATTGACGCTATTCTCACTGATGAGTTTGACGATGTGACTGGACTTGGGAAGTTAGACGCTTCGTCACCAATGCTGTTCAACCTGACACTTGAACACGTTATACGGAAAGTGTACACACTCAATAGCGGAGTGCGTCTCAATGAATAGAATAAGGTGATAGGGTACACCGATGGCCTTGCTTTGCTAGGAGAAATGAAATCAGCACAATATAAACGGATTCAACTGCCTCCAACAGGAAGTCTCTCGGAATGTCCAATCAAAGGGCCACGAAAAAACGGAATATCATCCCATGCGTCGATATAAAAATGTAAGATGAAAGTGAGAAAACCTAGTTCTCGGAAATACAAAGTATAAAGCAGTGGCCAAATTCCGGTACCTTGTACAGTACAGTGCATGTAACACACACTAATAACAGGGAAGATGCATTTGAAATAGGTGCACAAAATACAGTGCAACCCTACATTCGGTACTTTGTTCGAAGTTACTGAGCAGACTTTGGAAAAAGCTACCAATCTATCAACGGATCGAAATCGCGATCCACTCGAGAAGATCCGACCTGAAATTCAGTGGGCTGTGTCTATGGATTAGTTTGCACGTTGAATTCTTCGTATTCGCACGTCGTATTCGACGGTAACGGTGACTAAAAAGTAAAAAGCACTAATATAAGGCAATCTCTTATTAAATTAAGTACGAACAATATGTCAGTGTTGCCTACTGCTATCCTTGTTTGTTATTGCGATACGAGAAGCGATTTTCTTGAGTTCATCCAAGTTAAACTACTCATTGTTTCTCCCTGCATACCATTGACATGACCATGACAATGGGGACTTTACGTCTCAGGCACATTCATTTTTTTTAATTTCCTTTGATATACTCGTATAAATTCGTGTTACACAGTAATCATTTAATCCGTAGAAAATAAACATATAACCAAAGAATACTTTTGTACACATGTAGTATTCGTAATGAAAACACATTTATGGGTTGCATGATGTAAATGCGCGTACATAATACATTTAACTAGGTATATATATCTAGCCAAGGTCTAATATAATAGTCGACATCATACAGTGAACGGCCATGAAAATTATTCGCGGTTTCTGCTTAAAACTAAATAGGTAACCTTTTTTTTTTTAAATTGACAAAACGTTCGAAAATTTTAAAATGTATTTGTACAACATGTTAAATTCCTTCACCGATTTTATGTTATACGTAACGTGACCAGACGTCCCATTTTTAACGGCACTATCCCTTTTTATAATTACGAGTCGCGGTGTCCCCGAAATGAACTTTGGAACGCAAAATTGTCCCGTTTTCGGCCGAACCCGAGCGGTGTAACCTATATTAAAGCAAATTTGTTCCCTTAATAAATACAAATATAACTAAACGTCTTGAGTCTATATGTTCTTTAATTCGTAAATTTCAAGCTAACTATGCCGAATAATAATTTAAAAAAAGTACTGTTTTTTCCATTATGTACCTGTCAATTGTCCCAATACAAATAAACCGACGTCCCGTTTTGAGTAAAAATATAAATGGTCACGTGGGAATTGCGTATTATTGTAAATTTGTATTCATAAAGTGATCGAAATCATGACGGTATAGTGATTTTAATTAAGTCAAAAGAATACATATTAAAAATAAACTTTGACCGCGTACCTCACATCGCATATGGCGTGAATCGAACGTGATTCCGTAAAATATGAATGAGATGAAACCGCATAACATTACTTATATTCTATCTATGATGTTTTGCCCACAACATTATTTGATATCCTCATTAAATTTCGCCTTATAATGGAACTGAGTGTGAAATTTAATCACGCATCTTGTATCAAGATGATTAACAATTTTACTAAACTAATTGGAGATCATTATTAAGATTGTTTGATTATATCAAACGAATATTATAAAATTTAAAAGTAATTCTTACAAATCGGTAACAACCACAGAGCTTTTCACGTACCAATTTAAATTCTAATTTTAAATTAAATCCCGTTTTAATTATAATGTTAAATTCAATCCTATTTAAATATAAAAATGAATTGTAGATGTCTATGCTCCGGTAACCGCTTAACAGGCCGTGAGCTCGTCCACCTATCTAAGCAATCTACCTAGTCAGGTCATAAGTATTGTCACACAGTAAAAACTTTTCTTTTAGAATGCTGGCCACAAAAAAGTTTATTGAATTCGAATTTCGAATTGTTCATGAAAATAAAAATGTATACTTTTAGAATTTTACTCATTTTTAAATATGGAGTGGACGCTTAAAGAAGACCGTGTTGCAGTTATTGCGTTGCATCGTTGCGGTTACGCGCCAATTCAAATTTTTAACATACTGAAAAATTTGAATATAACCAAAAGATTCGTTTATCGTACCATCAAACGATACAATGAAGACTCTAGTGTAGATGACAGGTCAAGAAGTGGTCGCCCTCGGTCTGTTAGGACTCCAGCAGTGATAAAAGCTGTGAAGGCGCGAATTCAAAGAAATCCCAAACGTAAGCAGAAACTGTTGGCCCTTCAGATGGGGTTAAGCAGAACCACGGTGAAAAGGGTGTTAAATGAAGACTTAGGGCTTCGGGCATATCGAAGAAAAACAGGACATCGTTTGAATGCTCGTCTAATGGACCTGAGACTGAAGAGATGCCGCGCTTTGTTGAAGCGGTACGCGGGAAAAAAATATCGGGAAATTCTTTTTTCGGATGAAAAAATTTTTACCGTAGAAGAGAGCTACAACAAACAAAATGATAAGGTGTACGCACACAGTAGTGAAGAAGCGAGCAACCGTATTCCGCGTGTCCAACGAGGTCATTTTCCATCCTCGCTCATGGTATGGTTGGGAGTTTCTTATTGGGGCTTAACAGAGGTACATTTTTGTGAGAAAGGTGTAAAAACGAATGCAGTTGTGTATCAAAATACAGTCCTGACGAACCTTGTGGAACCTGTTTCTCATACCATGTTCAATAACAGGCACTGGGTATTCCAACAAGATTCGGCGCCAGCTCATAGAGCGAAGAGCACACAAGACTGGCTGGCGGCGCGTGAAATCGACTTCATCCGGCACGAAGACTGGCCCTCCTCCAGTCCAGATTTGAATCCGTTAGATTACAAGATATGGCAACACTTGGAGGAAAAGGCGTGCTCAAAGCCTCATCCCAATTTGGAGTCACTCAAGACATCCTTGATTAAGGCAGCCGCCGATATTGACATGGACCTCGTTCGTGCTGCGATAGACGACTGGCCGCGCAGATTGAAGGCCTGTATTCAAAATCACGGAGGTCATTTTGAATAAACTTTAGTGTCATAAGAATCTATGTTTTGTTAAGTTCATTTTGGTATATGAATGGTTACATAATGAATACACTTGTTTCAATTATTTTACATTAAACATGTGACAGAATTTACGACCTGACTAGGTATAACGTGTGAAACTTGGATTATAATAATTATACAATTAATATAATTTA